GGTATTGTCAATGTTCTCTAAAAAAACTCAACCTGGATATGGTGTAAAACGACAGGTACTGCTAGTGCTTACAGCCTGTACCTGTACCACCCCACCCCCCCCAAAAAAAGAAAGTGCAGGGAGGGCTAGGAGCAAAGAGCTAACATGGCTGCACACAATGATGATGATAGCAATGAAAACATTGCTAAAGATGAATTGTGTCCTTTCAAACTTTACCAATTTGGAACTGCATAATTTGTCAATAGTAGGCAATTTCTCCTGGAGTTGAGTCCTGAAGAGAAAGGAAACTTCATTGACGTATGTTCACCGCATCCTTCATAAAACGTCACACTAGGTGGTTTCACATCGTAGTTGTGCAGTGGACATTAAAGAAATGTACTAAAATGCGTGATGCACATGCAAGGCTGTTTTGCTCATAAAACCAATTGTTTTTGATGTTGTCACTGTCATTGTCGTTGTGGTTGTTTAAGCTCCCTATAATCCTTGCTGGAACACTAATGATTGATCTCTTTGTGGATAGAATCCCTGTTTGGATGCACGCCATATGAAAATCTGGAACCTCAACAAGAGCTGCCATAAACTTCCATCCTTCCTTGTTGTTGGTCCTCAGAAGACAGGAACAACAGCACTGTACACATTTCTCAAAATGCATCCTGATATTTTGAGCAGTGAGCAAAGTATCAACACTTTTGAGGAGGTACAGTTCTTCAACGGACATAACTACAACAGAGGTGTTGACTGGTGAGTGAAGTATGCTCTTATTTCCTTAGATAAGCATCCATTCTCCAGTTCCTCCTAGGAGTGGTATGCGTGCCCTACTCAGAATTTCGAAACCCTCTGTTTCACATATTGAGGAGGAAGCTCTGTCCCTGTCTGTATTTTCTACTACTGTTAGTTATTGATTTTGTGCTTATCTGTGTTGGCATCAAAGTCTCAATCCATCTGTGTTTTGTTTGTCGCCATTATTTTTATCTGTCTTATGTTGCCTCAAGATAAGGCCATGTCACTTGTCAGAATTTATGCTAACTGGACCTCATGTTTGAATAATAAGCACTTGCAAATGTACTCTCTCATAAGCTCAACCCCCTCCCTCCTCCCTCTCTGCCAAAAAAAGGAACAGTAATAGGGAATAGATTAACAGCAACAACAACAATTACAGCAAATAGAAAAAGAAAATGGCAACAAACACAAAACTTAAGTGAATACATGTGATCTATGTTCTTGTAGGTATATGGATTTCTTTCCTGATGTTACCAACAAGAGCAATACCATCTTGTTTGAGAAGAGCGCAAATTATTTTGACAGCAAAGTAACACCATTGAGGGCTCATGCTCTGCTGCCAAAAGCTAAGATCATCACTATTTTTTTCAATCCAGTAAAGAGAGCTTACTCTTGGTACCAAGTAAGTTTGCTATGATAGCTGTATAGGGTATGACGTGTGATGATATAATTCAGTACAAGTTACATCAGAGCTTCTCTTTATCATTATTTTATTTTTCTAGCTTTTGTCAATTGTTGGCATGGTAACTGTAACAAGCCAGTCAACTATGGGACTATAAAGGACCCCACCCCCATGAGAAATGGACCACACCACCAGGTTCACCTCCCTTAGTGTTTTTTAACAACAGCATGGGTTCTTTCATTGGTGTGGCAAAAACTCAGACCCTTAAAATCTGTTGTGAAATAACCCCTTTTCATGCTCAAAGATCAATAACTTGGAAGAATTTAGGGGGCCACCGATAACAAGTTTGACATGCTGGTCACCACTTGGCCACGCTGGCTACCTAGTGTCAATTTCATGGCAGTTAACTGCAGCTAAGTACTGAATACTCAGTTCTGACGGATATATAAATTTAGGGGGGGGGGGATCCAGACCCCTCCTAAATCCTCTCCTCCCCCCTCCCCCCCCACACACACACTCTGGATCTGCCACTGCCTTCTTCATAATTTACTGCTTCTTAGACCCGTTCCACTATATTTTTGTTTCTTTTAGCACATGAAAAGTCACGGCCTGGCTGCAGCACAAATTCCATTCTATAAAGTTTTGACAAGTGTAAATACCACAGAGAAAAGGGAAGTCAGAGCTCTTGGTCAAAGATGTTTAACACCTGGATTGTATGCTGAGCATTTAGAGAGATGGTTGTCGTACTACTCACCTTCCCAGGTAACTATACTGTACCGAATTTTGTTTCTTCACGAAAGTAAGCGAGGCTTCCAAAAGCCTAGTGTGTACTTAACGATTCTTTAAAACAGAACAGTCAAGCGACAAGCTCATTAGATTTTTCGACTCGACTCTTGATTCTTCAAATTGAGACTCAATTTATTCTCAAGGCTCGATTCTCTGAAGTTTTGAGATTCGAGAATTGAGTCTTGAGTCAAGAGGAGCGAGAGGCTAGTGAGTGTCGACTTATTACTTTTGAGTGGTATTGTACTGCACACGTGTTTAAATCCTTTTACTCCTAACTGAGTGGCCAAAGTAAAAATTGCCCCTAAATTTCAAATTTCCTTTTTAATGTAAAATTGTAAGAATTAATGTAGTACTAAGCAAAATTTTTGCAGAAAAGGTTTCCACCATAGGATTTCCTCCACTGATTTGAAAAGTAAGATTGACAGAACTTCTTATAACTTGGTCCAGGGGTTAAGTGGGCTGAGATTTATAATAAGCTTTCATAATGGACACCTTGCATAAAAGCCATTTACAGTGTGAATTTCATACCAGCTTTTAATTAAAACAATGACTGTTTTATGTTTTTAGATTCTTATCCTTGATGGTGATAAACTAAGGAATCGTCCTGCAGATGTAATGCTGGAGGTGCAAAGGTTTCTTGGTGTTAGTGTGTATGATTACAACAAACGACTTAGGTATGTCTGTTAACACTGTTAATAATTATTTTTTAAATTATATTTTCCATTACATTTTAAAGTCCTGCCTTGTCAAATGGATGTTATTCTTGATCTTCTCCCTACCCCTCCCCCCAAAATCTAGATGTAGGATTAATTATAGCTTGGCTAAAGAGTTGCACTTTTTATCCTCCGTTATAAGTGTTACTTTAATGTCAATTGTTTTCTTGTCATATTACTATTATTAGACAAGATATTTCAAATGGGTTTCAAATATTATTTTATTCACTGCTCTTTCAGATTTGACAAGCGCAAAGGATTTTATTGCCAGGTGACATCTCATGGTGGCACAAATTGTCTTGGCAAAGGTAAAGGTCGGCACTATGGGCCCATGGATGCAAAATCTCAGCGTTTCTTAGAAAGTTATTACAAGCAGCCAAACAAAAACCTTGTGGACTTGCTTCAGCAATTAAAAAAACCTCTTCCAGAGTGGCTAAAACCGAAGAGATAATTAAGTCGATAGCTAGTCAGAATTTTATCTTTTTCTCAATCTCGTAAGAGAAGCAATTTTCAATTTTCTTATGACTGAAGTTCTTAAATGTTATTTTTAATGATAATGTCAGGAAACTCACAAATAGCAGAGAATGAGAATTTATATGTGTATGATAATAAGTGATCTTTTCTTTACAAATCGCAAAAGTTTTGAGGCCCACTGATTATTCCTCAGAGCAAATATATACCTACCAAACTTATCTAAACTTTTGAAAACTTACAAAAGAGTAACAAATGTATGCATTTTATGAGTAACATTAATATTATTACCGGTATCCCATTATACCTGTAACTCTCAAAATCTGACTAGTAAGTCTTCTTTCTGGCTGCTATCATGTCCTTATACGTTATTTAAGAGAATTGAAAGGTATAATCAAGATAACATCCTCCAGCCGATACATTTGTCAATTCTCGTCACCTCAGTCTGCAGGACAATGTTTTGATCTTACAAGGAAAAGTTACATGCAGATCACTTCTGAGAGTGCATGTGAAAGGCTTAACTTTTGAAGCTAAACTGATCCAGAAGGAATTTATATTCAGTTTGTTGGTGGGAAATTTTTTACAGCCATTTAATCCCCTTTAAACCCTAAGAGTGATCAGCATCAAATTTCTCCTTGTAATATCAATGCTTTGAAAAACAGAGTGGTCATGAGAATTACGGACATGATCACACAAGACGAATTTGCTTGATATTTTATCAACTTCTCCGCACTACTTCTGTAGAAAATGAATAGGGGCAACAAATGAGAATTCAAATTTTGATCTTGGGGTTTAATAGGTTAAGGTATGCGAGATATCTATCCCTTTTTTCTTAACATTAGTATATGACTCTATGATATGCATTATAAAATTATAGTACTTGGGAAAAATGACACTTGGTCTGATTAGAGTTGAACATATAAAAATATAATACACTTGATATAAATACCCCTTTATCACCTAGCCAGAAGGAAAATGTTTACACTTTTTTTAACTCAAAACAATAAAATAATGTTAGAAATAATGGAATTAAGATTAATATACTTTAAGCAGCTGAAAATTAAGGTTAAATCTAGCTAAATAAATTCTTCATAATATACATCTTAAGTAAAATTCAAATCAGTATTTTTAAGTGCTGCGATTTTGTTTTGGAGTTTTTTGCATGACTGTGAGCTTTTGAACGGCTTCAAAAGCTCAGATATGGATCAACTCATTTTTGCACTGATCGATATTTAGATCTGGGGTTAACAGTGGTAACTTGCGTGACGGCGATTAATTATAATGATTAATTATAGTAAGCTGTGTGCAAGTTTATAGGAAAATATAATAAGTGAATTTTATGCAAACTGAGCAAAAGAGGAATTTTCAGGTTGTATTCAATCGTTCACATTCGTTTGTTCACATTAATTTTTACCTGTCAGTCAAAATCTTTCATCAGTATATTTTTTACTTGCCAAGTTTCAGCTTGTGAGCTGCAACCTTTCTCTTGCCATGATTTGGCAAGTGACTTTCAGTATACTCACAAACTGCCAAAACTGTGTTCAGCCACCTCATTTAGAATAGTGGAAGATGATGTTTCTCTCAAGAACGAAAATGGCCATTGATATGACCAAAAATATCTATTATTCAAAAAGTTATATTATTATAAATGTGTATGTGTATACAGCTTCATTCCAGGGTACAGACTATCCAAAAAATTAATAAATAATTAATATATTATTTATTCATGCGTTAACCAACCAACGTTTTGTATTTTTTCGTACGTGGTATTTTGGCCCATATATTAGACATTAATGTTCGTCATTTTAATGTGGTTTACATTGTTTCAAAACCTTAACCGCTGCATGCAAAACACTGAAAGTGTATTTGACATGCATTTTTAAACATTTATTTTCTTTTAGTTGCAATTACCATTTTTTTGTCTACAAGTCAGGATTTACTAGACATGTGTCAATAATATTTAGTGACATTGTTTTAAAGTAATGTCAATCCCTTGTAATCTAGCCGTTAACTGTATGAACTTACAATTTTTTGGGAGGTCTTGATTTTTTCATGAAGCATTCTTGGAAAGTTACTTGTATTTTTGGCCTTGCAAGGGTTACTTTTATTTTTTTACCAGGAGTTAATTTAGAGCAATTGGTGGATTTTTAAGTTAATTTGGAGGACAAGTAAGATGTTGAGTATGAGAATGTATTAATTTTTTTAATCAGAGTTCATACAGTTTACACTTGTCAGCAAAGAGTGAGTGAGTGTCTGGGAACACAAATTCATTTCGGTCTAGTCCAAAGTAAAACTCACTGTTAAACAATTTTCACTTCATTTACCATGTTTACATTTTAACGTAGACATGGTTTACATTTATGCATTCATAGTTTTACGAAAAAAATTGTACTGTTCTCCTTGAAATGTCTATTGGAGACTGAGGAGGCACATAGTCCTAAATTATGGCCTTCATATAAACTTCAGTTGATTTTTTCCAATATAGTTATTATGGGTGAAATATTTTTTCAGTTGATGTTGACTACAGTAACAGTAGTTCTACAGTTGGAGATCTACAGTAGGGGGGATCTCCCCTCCCCTGCCCCCATTATTTTTTCTTTTTACATCAAGATCTGGGCCAGCAGGGCTGAGACACTGAGATAGCTCACTTTGGAAAAGAGTGATAGCCTGGGAACGAAGTCGCGCCGCAAGCACTTATGGGATTATTTGGGGGGACGCGGTAAAAACAAACATGGAGGAATTGAGTGCGGAATGTGATTGTAGTGATGACAGCAAGATTTTAACGGAAGTAGATAGTAATAAGATCAAAGTTATCGAAACTAGAAAATCAGAAAGCACATATCTAAGAGAAGAAGATGTACCTGGAGCAATTTTACCTCGAAAAATACCAGAAGAATGTACCGTAAAACAGCTGCAGCGATGGCTCCTTTGCCGTGGAGCTAAAACAACTGGGAAGAAAATGCAGCTTGTTCAAAGGTAGGAGAACTTAAGGGCCATTTGAAAACTTCTTATTACTGCCCCTGTTCTTTTCGTTCGTTATTAAGCCATGATATTCCAAGAATATCGCCTGTACCTACTTTGGTATTTTTTTTTTTCGTTTTAGAGTAAAGGACTATATTGCTGGTGGACTAAGCTCTAAGATTAAGGACCCTGATGGTGGAATTCATTTAGCGAAAGCTAAAGCTAGCCTGGGACTCATGGAGGAAATTAACGCCAAGAAACTCAAAGAAAACTTTCCAGTAGATGGCTTTACAGAAGATTTAAATATTCTACCTGCCATATCATTTGGTACAATATGGAGGTATATGATTGAAGAAAGTGATGCTAAGAAGCAATTATCCACTGCTAAACCTCTCGTCAAGGGATACAACTTTTTAAATCTGGCCATGTCCTTAGCATTAAATGCAGGAGTCTGACGGAAAATTTTACATAAAAAGTCAAGTTCTTCCATCAATGAAAAAGACTGTTTTGTATAATTGCTATATTGTTTTGAACAAATGTGGCAAGGTGATGACAGCTTATGATGGTTGCCCAGCTGGAATAGATGGCAGATGTAACCATGTAACTTCAACACTGTTTGCACTGGAAGAGTTCTTCAAACAAAGTAAAGCACCTGTGAATCCTTCCTTAACACCTGCAATATCATGCACTTCAAAGCCATGTGTATGGAATGTCCCAAGAAAAAGGAAAGTTGACAACCTGCCAATTTCACAGGCCAAATTTAGAAAGCATCAGCATGGAAAACCTCACAAAAGTGAGGATAAAGCTCTACCATCAACAAGGGATGTCAGGGCACCACACCAGCAGAACCCAAGTCTAAACACTGATGCTAGCAATTTGTTACATCATGTCAAGGAAATTGAGAAAAAGACAGGCAAAAAGATGGCACTGAGTCTAATTCTACCACAGAAAACTTTGGAGGAGAATAAAGAAAGGATTTCAGTTGAACATAATTATTGCACACCTCTGACTCCCATTGAACCTGTTGAAACAGAAGGAAACATTTGTACAGTGTCAACTGAACTGTTATCACCAGTGAAGTGCCATCCAGTGAGTTTGGAAGAAATAAAGGAAAGATGCATAAAACTTAAGAAAAGGCTTTTTGTCGATGAAAAGGATGTTGATCGAATTGAAAAAGAGACAGTGGGTCAATCAGCAAATGAAAACTGGAATCTGCATCGAAAAAAATAAGAATAACTGCGTCAAAATGCCATCGAATTGCCACTTTGCAAGCAACTACCTCCCCAACAAAGGCCATTGAAGAGGTCTTACATTACAAGCAGATACCTCAAACAAGGGCAATGAAAGAGGGTTTGTCAAGGGAAGGTGCTGTTATTGCTGAATACATCAAATCAAAGAAACTGGACAATCAAAATGTAATAGTGCAACCATGTGGACTTTTCATCAGCAAATCTCATAATTACCTCGCCGCATCTCCAGATGGCTTAGTATACAATGCTGACTCCACTGAGCTAAATTCAAGTGGACTTGTTGAAATAAAAATTGTCTTCCTAAAGGAGAATGAGACTTTGTACCAAGCACTTGTCAGAAAAAGAATCTTTCTTCCTGGTTCAACGGATGGACACCTGGTCATCAACCAAAAACACAAGTATCACTATCAAGTGCAGCAACAGATGTTTGTTGCACAGAAATCATGGGTTGATCTGGTGGTAAAGGGAGTTAAAGATCTTCCAGACAGATCAATTGTAGACACTGATGGTGTTTTCATTTCAACAGTCAACTTTAATCGTGAATTCTGGACCTCAGTACTTCCAAAACTTGAGGCATTTTATAATGAGCACATTCTTGTAGAACTTGCTTATCCGCGTGTTAAATTTGGTCTTTCAAGATTAGACTTGAGAGGCTGTTGATGACATACATAATACTAATTTGCTAATCTTGTACGTTATTGAAGTTGCTTCAGGAACATTGTCACTTGTAACAATATAGGCAATTGTAACAGACCTTTTCCGGCATTTGGGTATTGTATTTTGGTCTGTCCCAGCCTCAACAAGAAGCAATTGCTATTAATCATGGGTACAAATTCAGAAAATGTCTCTAAGAAAATGCCTCTAAGGTACATTAATCTAAAATGATATTCCAAACCCATTGTTTACTTTAATGAAATCTTTACTGTGGATGGCTTATTTAAAAGTGAAGGAATTCAAATATCCAGGACATAGTAACGATCAAAGTGTAAAGGAACAGTCTTTCATATTATTGGAGTTGAGAAAAATTTAGAGAGGTTATCATTCAATAAAATTCCAGTATCCACTTTGAAAAAATTATGTTTTTATCAAATCCATTTTGAGATCACTGGTTATCCTTGAAATCTGTTGGCTCTAAGCAGTGTGATTTATTCCTGAATCGCACTATTTTTGCTGTAAATCACTTCTTTTTCTCAGCTAATGAGAATGGGACAGTAAAATAAAACAATAAGATTTCCAGGTTAAAGTATCTAATTCAATTTCAGTAAAATGAAAGACTAAAAAGCCATTTTGTGGCAAATTTTCCAACTATTATTGCCAAAACTTTGTTGTTTGTTTTTTCAAACAATCGACGAATTTAAAAAGTGAAATATCATTGCAATTTAATCAATGAGAGGTGGCAAAAAGTTTGTAAGTGCCCCTATGATTATAAACATGTCACTAGCAATAGGGGCCAATGTTATGGGAATCCTGCTGTCAAAAATATGCCAGTTTTTCATCCTCTCAATGCATCTCTCTACATGTATTCTTAGGCTAGCAACTTTTTTGTTGTGTGCCATTTCTTCCTCACTGAACTGAGTTTTTCCTTTAAGAAAAGAGGGTATGTTTACAGTTACCCCCTTTGCAGCAAAGTCATCTTGTATGTCAAATCCTTTGTCTGCCATGACATCATCCCCATGGTGTAAGTAGTCAATCACATTGGACATTTTGGTGAGCTCCTTGTCACTTATGCTGCCAGTGTATAGCTCGCTTAAAAATCCCAGGGCTCCAATAGGCGAAAGACCAACAAGTCCTTTCATAGTTGTTGTGCCCTTGTATGAAGAATAACACACTGACTGCATGTCAAGTGATGAGGGGCTCTCTGCTCGAATTTCAACAGCATCGATTATTAGAACTGTTCTTGGATAAAGTTCCTTAAAAATTTTTGGCATGTGCTCATGTAAAAGCTCTCTCCTGGGAAGGCAAATTAAAGGCTCCAGTTCAATCCTCATAAACCGAACCCAAGTGTTAAATACAACAGACACAGTAGTTTCAGAAACATTGAATCTGTGGGCAAGATCCTTTTGTAACAAGCCAAGCCTAAGTCTCATCAGAGTCAACACAAACTCTTCAAATAATGTAAGTGCTCTAGGTCTACCTAGCTTTTGCTCGGAGCCAATTCCTTTCTTTTCATAACTGCCATAGTTCAGGTTCTGTGCTTTCTGATTGACCATATCATAAAGAAGCATAAGTGCATCCCAGTGTGGAAGACCTGTGTAAAATTCAACATCTTCATCATTGCCCTTAAACTTTGAGATGTCAAATTTCGGATTTTTCACTAAATGTTGAAGTCTCTTTGTCGCGCTCGATAACTCGTCTCTCTCCCTTGCTACCTTGTCCTTCTTCTCTATGATTTCTTTAAGTTCCGATTCAATTTGATCCAGTATTTCTACAGTGATTTCAGTTTGCGTCGCAGCATCGCAGAAAGAAGCTTGAATGGTTTCCTCATGATCAATGTCAAAAAGAGGACCTTGGTCTATTTCGGTAGTAGAAACATCGGCTTTCCTTTTCTTACCTCCTACGTTTGTAGTCGATTCCGTCCGGGACAAAACCCGCCGCTCTGTTTTCTTTTTACTCCAAGGAAATATCGATGGAAGGTGTTCTCTGCTGAGCTTTTTACCTCCGGTCCAGTGAGCAGAGCAAACGCGTGTGCTGTCGGACTCTAACTTTAAATTATCGTTCCGAAGTAAACGTATATATTCCCGGCGAACACTTTCTTTTTTGGGTATTCGATAAAACGTCATTCCAGTAGAGTTCCTGAAATTATTGGTGCACAAGGGCACACAACAACTCCTGTGTTTAGGCATAATTTAAGATGGCTGGCTTGAGCGTCCCCCCAAATAATCCCATAAGTGCTTGCGGCGCGACTTCGTTCCCAGGCTATCACTCTTTTCCAAAGTGAGCTATTAGACCATGATCAGGCTCACCAGCTTGTGTGTGTTTGGGAAAAATTTTGGGGGCGTAGCAGTCAGTGTGAGACGGCTTCATCAAAGAGAACAATGGGGCAAGAAAGAGGCATTTCCTCACACCATTCTTTTTACTGGCCTTGCTAGCTGACGCTGGTAGCTCTGTGGCCAAAATTTTCACTGTACTGGCACAAGTAAATCTGATCATAGGCTACACTAAGATAAGTCTTGGCCAGAGAGTTGGCCTTGAGTTATAATTGAATGTAAGGCTAGGGTTTATGCTGTTCAATTTTGTATTTTTGATATTGCTTATTTTTGCTTATCATTAGGGTATCATACTTTTTGGCTATATATGTAACATATATTGCCTGCAAAATAGCAGGGTGTTGAAGGGGCAGTATCACTGGAATTCATCCAGATATTGGTGGAACTATTAAGCTAGCATTATGAAAAAAAGGCCCGACTAATGTTTCAACGCAGTAACCTATTCCGGTCCTCAGTAGCCTGCGGATAGAGCTACCTCTCCTTGCTTCTCCCCATTAGGGATATTCTGGAGTGACAGAAATGCCATACTAATGACTTAAAATCTGTAGAATCTGATCTTTAAATACAGCCATTTCTGTTGTATTTTGATTCCAGAAATAGCTTTCTTTGTGACACTGCCTCATCAAAATGTATAATTGTCAGATAGTTTATCATTCATGTGTACCTCTTTCAGACAAGGTGCATGTACTTCAGAAGAACATGCTGTGGGAGAGGACTGTAGGAATAAACAATAATTATTTTGTTAGTTTTCTTTGTAACCAAGAGAACTATTTTTATAACATCTCAGAGAATAAGAAGATACTGTGTGGTGAAAAAATAAAAGGTGAAGTGTATGTTTGCCATTATCATTGTGTCCTGATTAAAAATATTTTTCCGGTCTATAATTTTAATTATTAAATTTGTCAGAATTAATGTCATGAGTCAATTCTTGAGGTGCGTGTATATATGTGGTTGGTGTCCACCAGTTGCCTAGCAACAAAGCAATGACAAACAAACTACAACAGTGAATTTAGCGCTTTCCCACGAATCATAAGAATGCAATGAGTATAACAGTAATTTTTATTTCAAATTACAATTCATGATGGAAGGTATCATTATTACACAGTCATTTGCGAACAAAAATACATTGTTTTTCTTTTCACATTTTTTACTGATCTGACTTGCACTGGGATGCTTTCCGTCATATCTCCGTAAAACATTCTTGGCTCCGTTATTGTTGTTGATATAAATAAACAGGAATTTTTACTGTTATTTGGCAACCGCATGCCTCATTAAAACACTGTTTAGTTTCTCTAGTTTCTTGATATCCTGTTGATGTTCTGTCCTATATTTCAAACACTGAAAGAGTAAGAGAAAATAATAATTATTATTGATAAAATGATATGTGTTACCACGGGTTTCAATAAGCACCGACGGCCGACAAAACACATCGGCTTCTTTGCTCATAGAGGTCGGCTACTCTTTTACAGAAAGAAGAAGCAACTAGTTTGAATAACGGTTTAAACAAAAAATATATCATAAAATCTAAATGAAAACGTAATTATGATTTGTTTTCCGAAAGGAAAAGGAACGTTATGCTTTAGTCATGTGAACGCTATAGTTCAGTCATTTTTTCAACAGTTTCTTACAGGTTTATGCATAATTTGTTTATGTGCAAAAGCACGTAATTTAGTTTTCATCATTTGTTCAATACTCGTAGGAATTGATTGTGTGACTGGTAAATTGAAAGCTACATTTTCTTGAATGAAAAAGACGCTCTTTTGTTCTCAAATTTAGTCACCAGAACGCTGAAAATCGCATTTTTAGGGCTTTGAAATTTCAAAATTTTCTGGGGCAGAACGCGCTTTGACTCCCCCTCCCCCCCCCCCTACAAAAGGGGACCAACCACCCCTTTTTGATACAGTCGGTTACTCTATCCAAACTGCTGGCTACTTCAATTTTTATTGAAACCCCTGTGTTACAAGGGCAACAGGAGCGTAGCCAGCCCTTAGACCTACAAACTTTTGGTTTGATCACTTAACTGCTTGTAGTAAATTATTCATTGTTGGGGTGAGCTAAAAAGCTTAATAAGGCTTCAATGTGTTGGTGAAGTCAGTGCGTACTAGTCATGTGTGCAATTTTCAGGATATGTGGAAATGAAAGTGAGCCAGGCCTACAACTAGTTGAAAAGATGGCGACGCCCCTGGCTAAGGAGAAAAAGAGAGCACTTCAAACTTAACCCTTTTATTTCCAAGGGTGCCTAACATGTACAGGGTTCAAACAAAAAATTGCAACCATTTTTCAAGGACTTTTCAAGGGCCACATTAGATTTTCAAGGACCACCTTCTAGGAACATAATTTCACAGACTGTACATAAATGTACCTTCCCAGTCTATTCTAATAAGGCTTTAAGGGCTTGAATTGTTTGCTTCACCATCTTGTAAAAATTTTTCAGTTCACTTGTCTTAAATTGATAGTTAATTAATGCATAAAACATTGAACACTTTATGTAAATAACCTTTAAATTCTCTGAGCTATGATTTATATTTTGTCTCGGACAACCAAAAAGTACCAAAAAACACTTTCCAGGCCACCACATTCAAAGTTGAAGAAAATTCATGGACTTTTCAAGGACTTTCCCTAAAATTCAAGGACTTTTCCAAGACTGTGTGAACCCTATTTTCTCCTTACATCAACAATACTTATCAAGCAAAAAGGTTATACAACAGTCACCAAAGGGGAAACGCTTTGGTCATTCATCAAAATAAAATTGTCTCAGCTAATTATTTCTGAAGTGTATGAAGATCAGTCTAGAGAATTATTTTGTGTGTGCTTATTGGGGCTAAGGATTAATGCTCCTTTCCATATGATTGGTGATAGAATACTACAGGTATTTAGCCTTGGAAACATGTGTATGGTGTCTTTTTGACTTGTTTTTAAACACCGTTTTCTCCATCTCGACAAGTCTTGTATTTAAACATTCACAAGTAATTTCCTTTGTTGCCATGGCCCAAAAACGACATTGTCTGGGGAAGAGGGAGACTGTTGTCCCAGATTGTTAAGTAAATGTGTTTGCAAATAGAAAGAAGGGGGCAATTATGGAATACCTGACCACTTAGAGGCAGAACTACTACCTTGACACTGTGGTCCCGAAGTCGTTGAATAAGAATGTTAAAAACAAGCAGTTACATGAAAATGATGAACAAGAATGTTAAAGACAAGCAGTTAAATGGACTGCTACCTTGGTCTGTAATCCTGTAGTCAATGAACAAGAATGTTAAGAACAAAACGTTAAACTGCAGTCTCAAAATATTGCCGGATAATGGGTCAAATATTTAAATGAAGTTTAACTTAATCTGCGGTTTAACAAATCTTTGAACTTCCAGATCTCTTCTTTGGTGGGTTGTTTTAAGAAGATAAATGCTTGTCTAGTTTTCTCTATGTGCTTTCATCAAACTGTTCACAATAAAATGATGATGTTTTGTTAAACACTGGCTAAGTTACGTTTAAATATTTGGCCCAATAAGTTTAGTACAAAAGGCTGCAGATTTATTTTAAACTGCGGTGGTTGGGATTTGTGGATTAAAGACATGACGGATACATGAGATGTACATGTGTATAGTGTGCTTGTTTCACTTCATTACTTCGTTTATTGAAATGTGTAAATTATAGATTACTCTGGGACTGTAGTGGCAGATTTTCTTGGTTCAATGTAAGTGGACGGGTATTCTTAATCTAGCTAAATTCGATCCATGTTGTTTACTTTCTTTCCGAGTAATTATGATTGACCGAGTAACTTTCTCGGTATATACTGTTATTTTCCTGTAAACTGATTGGTCACCTGTGTCTAGGTGGCCCGGGTTACAGAAGTTGCACTGTTAAAATACCATTTCAAAAATTTTTTACGCTTCAGTACCCTGCATTCAAAACTTTCACAATTTTTTAAGTGCGACCTTAAATGCTCAGTACTGAGCGAGTGACCTGCTTGCTACATAGACAGGTATATAAAATAAATAAACCTAACAACTGGGCTGAAAACCAGTATCAATTTTTACTTCCAATAATGAGTTCGGTGTTCGGTGTTTTGGACTGTGAGGAAAATTCAAACTTAAGCTAAGATAGCGTCACTTTTGTAGGAAAGAAATAAATACTCACAACTTGGTCGTCAGTTCCTTTGAGCACAAGTTTTCCATCGCAATGACGATACTTTATAACAAAACGAAACTGAAATAAAGAAAAAATCACTTAACAACACGTCATCTTGAAGTAGCTTCATAAAAAAATTAAACACGTGCAGCGAAATATAAATAAAGGCTGGCTTCGAAAAGCTTGTCAGAATTAAAATATTCTTACCTTATTAGGTTCAGCGATGCATAGCTGTTCAACAGCCGCTGCAAATTCATCCCAGGAGTCAAAGTAAACCATAACTTCTTGTTCCTTTGTTCGCTAAATCAAGTCTCACGTACAAACCGCCATCTTTGAAGAATTTTGTGCTTGCTGTTTTAAAAAACTTCTTCGTATAGGTTACACTGGAATGTCTCAAAATTAGCAACGATTGCATAAGTACAGCGGTAGTGAAGCTTGTGCATATATGCCAAATGTACTGTCCCCAGAAAAAGCGATCTTTGATTTTACTTTTCTTCAAATTCTTTGAAACAAGTAAAATTTTATGTTTGATTCAATGACATGTTTTCACTTTTTATCTCTGCGTGAACGTTTCTTTGCTGACTTCGAAGTTTTAGTTTTCAACGCAAGGCCTTCTGGGTAGTGTGTTTTGCTGATCATGTGCCACGCATATGATATGAATTTCTCCACGAAAACAAACGAAAAATGTCGATAAAAGAGCTAAAAATAGTATAAAATTAAAATGGCGAGCTGTATGAAAGGATGTTGGGGCATTTTTAGTGAAGAATTTCGAAAGTTACGTCGGCCAGCTCATATTAGAGGAAGGTAAGCTTAGAAAAATAGTTTGTTGCAAGAGTGTAAGCTTGTTAAGCTTATTAAAATATATTGAAACTTCGATTCGTCCAGTGTTTTTTAAAAAACGTATCATTCCTTAATAGACGTTTTTATTAATTGTCACAGAACTTACAGACGTGCAAGATATAGCGAAAAGGAACTTAGTATCGAGGTACTTAGAACTTTTCCTTTTTTTAATATTTCAAGCAAGCTTATGTCACCAGTTTTTGGAGCCCACCAAGTTTTGACATCTTAAAACCTTTGCGAACTTTAACAGTGAAAAGACATGCAAACTATTTAGAGTAATGTGCTCCCACTAGGGTTAGAGAGAATTTTCAGATCAGGATGAGCAAATCGGCTGTTTTATGGTGGTAGCCTGAGACAATAGCTGACATTTTGTGATGGCACCAATATATGGTTTCCCAGCGAAATGACATCTGAGGAAAGACTGTGGAAATTAATTGAAACTAATGACATTACATGGACCACTCGGATCTGGGTAGTGCTTCTGATTGGTTGAAGCAACACAACCAGTCAGAAGCACTAACTGGATCTGGGTAGTGATAGGTATACAGTATGAATTTCTGCAGTCATTCCTTATATGTCATTTTGAGTGGAAATCAGTGGGGTGATGAAAAAGTGGGTTGTTTTCTCAGGCTAATGTGGCCAGCTAGAGTGTAGACTTCCTGGCCACCATGATTACAAATTATTCCATGCAGCCAAACCTGAATCTAAATTGCAATCTGCAAGATGAATTTACATGAAACCTTTGATTGACAAAGAAGTCAACAGATTGCTGAAAATTATTTTGCTTACTCTAAATATAGTACTTGTTACAATGGTTTAAGACTTTGTGTTTGTGCAATCAGCTTCTTTTATTATTATTATAGATGCTGAGATTGTATTTTGCTTCCTTTTCAGTTTGAAAACTTGATAGATGAGGTAATATTTCTTTATTAGCATGTAATTTGAGTATTTTTTTGTTTTAGCTTAATCCTAGAGGAAAAAATCAAGTATTCAACCAAAGGATTTTCATTGGGAGGGTATTTGAAAATCATGGTTGTGTCGTCAATGATACATGAAAATATTGCTGGAAACAAAAAATCGCAAACAAAGGAATCGTCGCTTAAGCTCTATTTATTCAGAACCCTTCAGAATGTTTGGGGTTTTAAGCAGACAAGACTTTCTTGCTCGGTTTGTAATTTCCTTGTCAAGTGATTCGGGTGTTTTATAATTTTTCATTTCCTCGGGGTGTACTATTTGTGCTATGATCGTGTTTGTTAGCTGTTTTTCAGCGCATCAGAATGTGTGCACTATATTATACAGTGTAGTTGTAGCACTATATTAATATCTTTATCTTTATATGAATTCAAGGCTGTGCTCTAAAAAAAATTGAAAAGAGCCCAGTGCTCTGAACTTGCGAAATACAGTGTGCCCAGCATATGATTTCTATGAAAAAGCTAAGATTTTCTAGTCACACGAGAACAAAAGTTAGGCAGCCCAGGCCACCAGGCTCTGCTAGAGCACAGCCTTGGAATTAATAATTGAAAACTTATCACTTTTAATTTATTTTGTAGGAGGACTTCAATCCTCGCCCCAGGTAAGTTCGTTGATCCATCCATCCATCCATCCCTCTTACCCTCCCTTCCTTCCTTCCTCCCTCCTTCCCTCTGTCTGTTCGTCCCTCTGTCGGTCTGTCCATCCCTCTGTTTGTCTATTCATTCATGACTATTTTGACTCCCAGGAAATGCCAGGGCACTCTTTGCTTGCTTACCATTTTCCAGTTTTGGCTGGCCAGACCAGTCCAGTCCTAGGAGAACTCCACCCTTAACTAGAAGGACTAACCAGCCACATCAGTTTATTCTTAATTAGCATGCACAACAGTAATAGAACTTAGTTGAAATATGGAGAAAGTACTACACTGTCTTGAACCTCTCCACAATGGCCACCTTGGGGACAGAAGAAAGTGGCCATTATAAAGAGGTTACCATTGTAGAGATAGGTTTAAACAAGAGTCAATGTATGGACTGTCCATCGAGACAAAAATTAAACAATGGCTTTTGTAGAGAGGTGGCCATTGTGGTGAGATGGCCATCAGTGGAGGTTCGACTGTTATAAATATTTCCTTTTCAAAATAATCAGTCTAGCCGGCCATCTCTGATTTGTAGGAAGCGCTCTTCAATATGTTCTTGAAAAGGTAATTCACAGTGTAGGTCTTCATTGCTCTGTATATTTTAATTTTTTTTATTCCAGACGAATTTTAACTGAAACTGAAACAGAGCTTATCAGTCAAAAGAGATTTAATGACCTGGTTCAACAGCAGAAGAAGTTAGATGCTGAAATCGACGCACAGTTATCCCGGCAAGAGGATGATTTACGACTTGAGGAGGAGGTATGATCTAAAAAGACATTTGTTAGTTATTTTCAATTGGCAAAATAAAATTGTTATTGCAGCAAATAAACAACAACAAACCTGCCTTTTAACTGACAGCACAAAACCATTTTGGAGCTGGGTTGTTCAAAGCTGGGTTAAGATAACTCAGGGTTAGCACAAGATTTGAATTCAGATATGAAAGCCAAAGAAGTATTTCAATTTTAATTCTTTTTTGTCTTCAAGTTTATTATTGGAAACTCTAAAAATAACAGAGAGAATTATCTGAGAAAATGGCTTTGAACACAAGAAAAAGAAAACCGGGTCAATTTAACCCCAGGTTAAGCGCTAATCAGCCTTTGAACAACTGGGCCCTGCAGTTAATTAGGTTAGGATTACATGTTCCTCTGTGATTGGTTGGTTTTGACCGCTGTCATTAGCCCCTTTTTTTTGCTGTTTTGTTCTTCACCTGATGACGACCGGAAGTAAGCAGTTGAAACATATTGATTTAACTCACAGGTGACTTCACTATGTCACTTGTGACACAAATGATAATACAGTCAAATAAAGGGAGAAAAGAAAAGAAGGGACCAACTCTTAGTGTCTGTTTTACAGAGGTGTCTGACTTATAGAGCTGTCCATAATTCTGTCCAGATTGCTATTATGCATGCATGGCGTGTATGAAGCCAGCTTCATTTGGACTTCCACCAAGAATAAATGGAGTGCACAAAAGGCAATCTAATCATACACATTTTCATTTTCTTTTACTTGTAATCTGATCGCACTTGTTTTAACCATCTATCACGTGAAACAGCATTCGAGCTCAGAAAGAGCGTTTTGACCCTTGATCATTGTTACCTGCACTCTCTTACCTTTGGAGATACTATTATGCTTTTAGCAGTTACTAACATTAAACTTACAGGTTGTCCATTTCCTTTGTTAAATAAATACAACTATATTTAACTAGTTGAGCCTCCACTAATGGCCACCTTTCTACAACAGCCATTTTTTTTTGTCCCAAATGACAGTCTACACATTGACTCCTTGATTTATTTTCTAGAATGGCCACTTCTTTATAACAGCAATGGCCGTTTAAGCTCGTCCTCAACTGACTGACGAAAAAGTCAAGAATGGCCACGAAACTTGAACTGATTCAAAACATTAAGTTTTATTGTGTAATTTCATCTAGTATATGGATTACCATTGTAGGCTACTGTAAGCATGGACTTGGCACTCTAAACATGCTTCCCCCCCCCCAAAAAAAAGAAGGTGTCGTATTACACCCCCACCTCCCCATAATGCCAGGCCATCTCTCCATAAAGGTAGGTTGTCCTAAAGGTAGCTGTTGTGGCAAGGTTCAACTGAATTAAATTTGTTTGTGCTATTTTGTTGAAGGCCTACTATGAAGCAAAGAGAGAGGCTGCACGAGTGGCAAAGCAAGCCAGGCAGATGGAGGTACTCTCATTTAAAAATGCAGTTTTTGCATGTACTGTCCCCAGAGAAAGTGATCTTTGATTTTAGTTTTCTTCAAGTTTTTTTGTGAAAAAGTAGCATTAATTTTATATATTTTTTCAACTTACTACAGGAAATGAAAGCTGCCAAAGAAAAGGAGAACAGAACTCGTAGGGGCTTCCTGGATGATTCATCCTTGTCGTGTTTATTATCAGATGATACTGTTAGTGTAGACAGGTAAGTAAAAATATCTTTTTTGTCATCAGTATTAACCCACTAATCATGTAATATTGCATTTTTACACCAATGAAATACCAGGTAAGCTTGTGAATGAAAACATGATATCTTCACACACATGAAAATAACATGTTTTATTATATAAACTCCAGTGAAATACCAGGTGACCTTTCGCGCGAAAACATGATATCTTCACATGTGGAAATAACATGTTATTTTCACATGTGAAAATATCACCGTTGCTATGGCTACATAATAAATCGCGCCTTTCACAGGAAAAAAACTGTTTCAATGAAATGGTTTGGTATTTCATTGGTGTTTATATAATAAATAGACTATTGCATGGCCGCTTGGAGATACGGAATTTCTCTTCTCGTGTTGAAAATATCTCACTCGTTCGCTGCGCTTACTCGTGAAATATTTTTCAACACTTGAAGAGAAATTTCGTATCCCCACGTGGCCATGTAATATCCTCTATATCTTCACATTTGAAAAGTTGAAAAGATCACTGTAGCAGTGGCTGCATAATAAGTCACACATTTTGCAGAAAAAATATTATAAATGTGAAATGGTTTGGTATGTCATTAATTGGTGTTTAATATATAATTAACATAATGTTACATGGCCACTCGAGATACCAAATTTCTCTTCTCATGTTAAGAGTATTTCACTTGTTCACTATACTCATTTAAATGAAACATTTTTCATCACTTGAAAGAAATTTTAGTAGTGTAGAATGGCTGCTCAAAAAATGTGGGTCTCGGAAAAACCTCAACATCTCAGAAGCGTTTGTGATGTTTGTGAGGTGATTTTGCATCTCAGAAGCTCAATTTTCTCATGAGTATCAGTCTCGAATTGCAGTCTCACAAACAGTCTTACCATTCTATTCCTCTAGTTTTGTACCTCCATGTGGCCATGTAATAAAATAATATCCTTTTTGTCACCTGACTTTAAATTTTGTACTTTGTTTTAGCACTGAGCTGGATGTTGAGGATTTCGATGCATTCCTGGAAAAAGTAAAAGCAAGATCTCTTGGAAATAGTCCCTTTGCTTGTAAGTTCAGACTTGCATTAAGGAACCTTTGAAAACTGTATTTTGCATGGTTCATACAACATCAGACAAACAAATTGTAAGGATGTCTGAAGGACAAAATTACAGTTTTCAAGGGCCAAGATTTATTCAATAAATTGTCATTCTTTAACCCCTTCTTGAACACCTTATTGAGACTAAAACACTGTCACTTTCTGTTCAACACTTCACAAAATGACAACAGTCATTAAGCATGACTTGCAGCTGCATCTGAGGTACAGAAATAGCCTTTCAAATATTAAAAGAAACAGAAATAAGATATTGTTCATGCATGAAAATGTTTTTGCAAATACCGTGAGTTTTACAGGTTCTTACACCTAGATGAGCCAAATTTTCCTGTCAGTGAAATAATCTGTAATCTTAGTGTGGTGTACTAAGCTGGTAGTGAATTTCAAGGACTTTTGAAGACGTAATAAAGAAATCAAGTCCTTTGTTTAGACCTTAACTGAATTCAAGGACTTTTTTCAGGATGACTACTAAACTTTGAGATCAAGATCGTGCAAACCTTCAGAATGAAAGTCCAGCATTAATTGCAATTATGTAAACTTGTAATAGTGGCAATCTGAGTTCTATGCCATCTTCACTTAGTTGGTATAGTTCTGCCTTGATTTGTGTTGGCAAGATAAGTGACGAGAAAATAGCTAGAACTGCTCCAAGTTTGTTTCTTTGCCACATTTCTAGGGCCATTAGTAAGGGTCTCCTGATCAGACAGTTATGTAACATTAAGCTATTGGACTCGCCTCTTCTTCCTTTCTCATCCAGAACCGAAACTGCTGTTAAAAAAGACTTTAATTAGGATCAGTATAAGAGTTAGACAAACTTCTCACTCACCCCTCCCCCAACTCAACATTAACACTAACTTCTTACTTAGGGGAAAATGTTAGATTGAGGAAGGGGTGGGCGGGCAGATCCATAATTCACCTAATACTCACATATTCATTACAATAATAATTGTTTTTTTCCATTGACAGCACCCACTGCGACAGTGCCAAACGGAACAGCTCCATGGGAAGATGCATTAGCACAAGGGATGGAAGCTACAAAGATTGCAGGAAAATCGCTAGATGCACTACAGGGATTTTCATCCTCTGTTGACCTTGTAGCTGTCAGTGAGAGATAGTACAGCTTATCTATATATAATGGAAACAACTGAAAATATGGTGATTTAACTTAAATGGAGTGCAATTTGGTCTGAAATATCATATGCGTTAGTTGAAGATCGGACAAGCGTGTAACTATGAGTTAGATTTGAAATCATAAGTATGATTTCAGATCAGAATAATTGCATGAAACGAAGTTTGAATACCACTTTATTACAGCCATTTTTAAATCACTAAATTCAGTCGGTACAAAAAATCAAAATTGGGATTGGAAACCCTTTACCATCTATTTTGTATGTGGAACAAAAAATAGTGTAATTCATGAATAAATCACACTGATGGAAGCGAATCAGATTGCAAGGATCACCAGTGATTTCAAAATGCATGCAATACCTTTATATTGGTACTAAATTTCGTGATTTTGGTGAGAAATATCACAGCGTTTTATTTTTGTGATTTAAATAAGAAAATATGCAAGGGGGGCATTAAATTTTGCAATGATTTTTATTTGCGGGTCTTTAATTTCACTAAGTTTACAATAAGGACAACAAGAAATTAAAGACCCGCAAAATTTTTAAAGTACCAAATTCACAATAATATAAATAATAATAGCATAGTTCTAGACCTCTTTTCATATTGTAATTTCCTTGTCTAAATACAGGGGCAAGATGATCCTTTGAGCAGTACAAAATACTTTATGTAATTTTCCAAAGAACAAAAGACAGGTTTTGCTTTGCAGAACGTGATGCTAATAATTCTGAAGAAGAATGTTGCTGACCTTGTGAGGTCAGTAGGATGGTTTTTTGTTGTTTTTATTTATACATTCAATAAAAAAGTTAAATAAGGTTAAAAGAGATTTAGGAATGCACTTCAAAATTATTTATAATGCATTTCATTGCACGAAAATATTGTAAACCTTTTTATAAGAAGAAGTTGGTAGAATCTTGACTTTGTCAAGTAAATATTTTTTATCACAGTAAAGGAAAATATAGAATAGTAAGTTTATTGTAAGATTGACAGTAAAGTGATCTCTTCACCAAGAAATAAATATCATTGTATACTAAGAAAGTCGGAAGAATAACTTAAATTTTCAGTTTCACGAACACAGTGGGACCCAAACAAGGGCGTTGCTGGCAATTTTCCGGAAGTATGCACAGTCCCCAGAACAGTCCTCCCAATTTGGTTGCATGCAAGTGACATAATGAATTTTTTTTGCTGTGAGCCCTCAGGCGAGCAGCACACTAATCCTTGGGTGTCCTCCTTGTGTGTCCTGCCACTATTTAGTCGTTCTAATCTATATTTATGTTTGTCAGGATGATTTTAAGCAAGCATGTCCGGTGGGTGTCATCATAACTTAATTTCGAACACTCTTATTGCCTCATTCTAATTGCGTTACGTCTTGCACATTATGGCGCGCGCAAACAGTTTCAAATTATTTTCGTATGACTGTAAACTGGTAAATACAGACCCAAATCACCAAGAACTGGAGATTGTATACGTAGGACTCTCTTGCTGTCCTTTACCCAGAACTATTAATGATCATCAGTTGACCCAAAAAAGGGTTTGTAGTTAGTCATTCTCGTCCTCAGAGCCACTCGGCTTAATTTGACCAAGAAACGAGTGGCTCTGAGGACGAGAATGGTAGTTCAGGCAAAACGGGTATATCGGTCCTTGGGAGGCTCCGTATATGTCGGTTCATCGTTTTTCAGATAACGTTTTACTGCCAGTCTTCATAACTTAATTTCAAATTGTAACACTTATTACGCGTTCTATAAATAGTCGATTTCCCAGTTGCCTCAAGCCTTTGTCTCAAAGCGAGGCTAAGTTTTTAGTCTCATGCAAATAAACCTCATTTTCATAAGAAGGGTTTTGCACTTAGCCTCGTTTTGAAAGTGAGATTTTGTGGAACTTGTAGGACTACAGTTAGACCCCCTCTACAACGGTAGCCTGCGTAGCATGGCGGTTTTGTCGAGCCGGGCGTAGGAGCGGCGTAGCCGCGAAATTCGCGCGGCAAGCACGACAGAAGAAAGTGGCCATCGTAAAGAGGTGGCCATTGTAGAGAGGTTTTATATAAGGGTTAAGGTATGCATTTTTTGTCCGCCGGGGCGAAAAAAGGTGGATATTGTAGAGAGGTGGCCGTTAGCGGAGGTTCGACTGTACCTTGCGTAAACGAAGGGTCTGTACTTAGCAAAATGTGGATTTCAGTTCGTTTCTCAGTTGATGTTTTACTGCCAGAATCTGCACACGGCATTAGTTACAATTTGTAACCTCTATCTAGGAATTGTACATTATGCTTGCATTTTTTTTTAGTATTTTAGTGGAGCAAAAGCATTAAGCGTTATTCGAGCATTTTAGTGGCACTTTTCCCGGATTTTTTTCAGAGAAAATAAAAACAAAGGTTAATTGTTCCCTGAAAAATCTTTTAAAATAAAGACAAACTAGAAAAAACTTGAAATTCAAAGTGCGAAGACTGGGGAAAAGTTAATTTTTGCTGTTTATAATGTTGTAAACTTGTTGTTATACTATGCATATCATTTGTGTAGAGATAGCACTCTGTTAGAACGTTACGATGAATAAAAAAGCCTCTGAAGCATTATCAGAGCATTTTAGTGACTTTTTTGGGGCTGACCGAGCATTTCAGCGGGAAAAATGGAGCATTAAGGTGGAGTATTTTAGTGGGGAAAAAAAAGCATAAAGTACAAAAGCCTACGGCGCGGCTCTAGGTGCTTCTCAGGCGGATCATGGGAAAGCTTCAAAAAATGCAAAGGCACATGGGAAGGCTTTCCATGACCCCCTGCACCGCGACTACCGCAGAAAATCCCAAGAAGCGCCTGGGTACGAGGCAGGTATGATGAGGTAATGGTCTCACGGACCATTTTTTTCTTGCTGGTAACAGGATTGACCTTTACATATTTGCATGTGGAAAAATAGGGGAAAATGCTAAGTTTAGAAGCCTCGTTTACAAGAATTTGGACATTTTTGAGACCGTACATTTTATGATTCGGATTTGTGTTGACGAGGCCCACTATGAAGAGTGGTTTAAAAAGATGCGGTTTCAGTGAGCGGATTCACTGATTTTCTGTGGACGGAAGGCCAATATCTGTGTGATTTTGCTAAAAGGTGCCCGCTAAGTTTTCGCTTGAACACGGGCATCGTTCAAGCCAGTGTAGCCGGAAAAAAACCAGGGGGCTTACCGTCTTGTTAGGTGTCAGCAGAGAGCCCAGGCCCAGACCTGACTGTAGGTGAGTGGCTGACTTGCTTTGTGTCAAAACTAGGGGGTAGGGAGGGGAGATTTTGTCACTTTGATTAGAGTTTCAAGACAGAAAGCAGTGCAAAGTCAAGGAATTTTTCCTGTGGGCTAGCCCAGCTAAATCAATGCTGTGACCTCATAATGATAACACTACTAACAGAGCTTGGGGGCGAGTGATTGACTAGTCGTAAGTGTCATGGGTGGGGAGGGCGAAGTACTTGCTCCTTGGACTTGGCTGTCTAGAGACCGAGTACAGGCCCCTTGTATGAAATCCACACATATATTGCATATAAAATAGGATCTTCATTCAATTATTGAATAACAGCTGTTTATTATCAAGCAAGTCAATAGTTTGTTTAGAAAACAAAATAAAATTCTCAGTACAGTTCATTGCTCGACTGTAAACTTCAAAAATATTATATTACCAGACAGATCTCCCAATTCACAATTCTATATAATATTTCAATTTATTCTTTATCAAAACAAGAGTGCCCTTTTCCAAGCAACTTATAACCCTAAACATTTGTCATTAATTCCCGTCCTAGGATAGTGTGTCAAACTATCCAATTCTTGACGATCTTCTATAAAAATCCAAAAGAATGTTTCCTTCACTGTCATACAGAAGTCACGGACATAATCATTGCCTTTGAGCTGAAAAGAAAAACAAGGAAAGTAAACTTAACCAGCTGAATTAATTCTCACAACATACCTCCTTCCTTCTACTTGTCAAAGACTACTCTCCAAGTGAACTCTCAATCTTGCCTCTTGATACTCATGCCCAATTTTTTTCGGGCCTTTATTTGCAACGTCATAATTTGTGTTTTAACAGTGGTGTTTTTTGTTCCATAGTTCCAATATATGAAATTTATATATTCATATCTCGCAAAGTTCCACTCAGTTATAGCCCCATCTACTTGTGAACACGAAAATACATCACGTTCTAAGCCCGACCCCCCCCCCCCCCCCCTCCCACACACACACATAAGCCCGCCATCTAGCTTGTATTAGAAAGAATTATATTTTTAATTTTTACGACTTCCCAAATAATTATAAGCACTCCCGTTTATAAGCCATCCTAAAATCACTTACGACGTTAAGTAAGCCACTAAGTTGTATAAGCCCATCACGGCTTAAAAACGGAAGTTTACTGTATTCAGAATTTGATGTTCATCTTTCCGAGTAACATTACGAACCAATTTCACAACCAGCTCCCAGTTGGCTTGCTAGTTCAATTGGCTAGAGGCTGCACCGGTACCGCAGATGTCAGAGTTAGAAAATCCCTACAAGCCTGAATTTTTTCACTAGGTTTTCTTTTCGCATCTACACAAGGCCTGGTTCAGACGCCGAACTTTTCATGAGCCGAGCCTAATACACTGAATTAAGTACATGAAAAGTTCGGCGTCTGAATCAATTAGGAACGCCTGTTTCAATTTGGAACGGCTCAGCCGGGCCTAAGTTGCGTCTTTACCTGCGACGAACTTTTTTGGATATATTACTATGACATATTGACTATTCTTAGGTTGATAATGTTGCTTCTCACCTAATTTCAGTTGATGGTTCCTGTGGTTTAGGATCCATTTGCTGGCTTCGTCCCCGGGCTTCGAAAAGTCTAATCTGTACTTGCAGCTCCACACAAGCTTCTCTCTCCTCATGAATATTGCGGCAGAGCTGAGTATTCTTTTGCTATGAAAAGTATAAAGAGCATATACAGTGATTTTGTTACAATTAGTTATGGTGAGTTCTGGGACTCATATTGTAAAAAATCATGAGTCCCAGTCCAGAATCATTGAGTCCTAGTTCAAAAACACGATTCCCTGGGTCTTTATATAACCGCACAGTTAATCTAGAGACAGACTCCAAAACTGTGCATTACAGTTTACTGAAATAAAAATATACTTCTTGTATTGTCAAGCAAAACAAAGACTAAAAGAAATATGCGCCGTTAAACAATAGCCACTGACAAGAACAGCCACAGAAATCACACAAACAGGACATTCTACGAAAACGCGTTCAGATCGATCAATCGATATTTGCGTCCTATGGGACGCATACAACAAATCATTTTGAGTCTTTGGGAATTTTTATGCGTCAGGAGCACAGGACACAGAGGTAACAAAATCACTGCATTAGCATATAGCGAAGCATAAGCAATAGTTAGCTATTTAACATGACTGGTAAGGACAAACCAACAGGAAAATTAAAGAAAGAGAATGCTTGCCTCACTTACTAGAAAACGACATTTGACATTGGTTTCCCTGTGGTGCGGACGTACGGGAGGATGGGCATACGGTCATGTGATTACCAAATTTCGCGGATATTTCATTAACGGTATGATTATATCATCCATTACCCATCAAGAGCTTCACTATAAAAGCAGCACCCTCAAATAAGCACCGCACCGAAATGAAAGAGCTGTGCACTCAATCAAGTAACTACAGTACTCCTTTTACCTCGAGTTCCTCATTTTGTTCATTCAGCTCCTGTAAAAGTCTTTCCAGGTCAGCTTCATCTTCCTATTTTCAAAAAGTTAAGGAATATTCCATGATAAAGAGGTACATTGATAAAAATATGACTTACTTCATTGTCATTTCCACCCTGTGAGTTTCACCCAGTGTGGTCAACCAAGATGTTGTAGTTCAAAAATTCATGTAATTTAGGTTTCAACCTAGTTTCCTCTGTCCCCATGCCCTAAAAACTTTTACAGTTAGAAATTAAAGTCATAAGGGTCAGCAAACAAGGGAAACCGAGAATCAAACTGAGTTAACATAACATAACATAACGTATTTATTCAAGATGATGAACTAAAAATTATAAAACATCTTGAAAAGGAAAACTGGAGGTTTAACCTATGATGTTTCGCTAATAAAATATGGAAGCAGATATATGCTATGTTCAATATAGAATATAAAATAGACATTTAAAAACTATTTACAAGAAATAAATTGGATCACTAATGCTAAATAATATAAATACATTGTAGATGAACAAAACAAACAACTAACGGATATTTAGGAAGCGGTTCTGCGCACTCTTAAAACGGCTCAGGCTTCCAGCCTCAACGATAGATCCTGGTAGACTATTCTAGTCCCGTACGATTCGGATAGGAAAAGAATATTTATATGGACTACACTTTGCTGGCTTAACATATAGTTTACACGGATGGTTAGCGCGAGTTGAATTGCACTTGGTAAATTCAAGAAGGTCGTCAAAGTTAAGTTTGTTCATGCCAAAAACGACCTTATAGCATTCAACTAGAGAAAGAAACAATCTACGTGTTTCGAGTGTAGGCCACTTCAGTTTCCTTAAACGATCTTCGTATTCCATCTCACCACGGTTTTGCCCGAGAGCAAGCCGAGAGGTTCTTTGTTGTGAAGCCCTGAAGACCTCATAGCCACAAGGCTGTGCTCTAACAGCGCCCAGTGGCCTCTAATGCCTAATTTTTTCCCCGGTGACAAGGAAATCTTAGTTTTTTTAAAGAAATCAGAAGCTGGGCGCCGTAGATTTCACAGGTTCAGAGCAATGGGCTCCCTTCAGTTTTTCTTAGAGCACAGCCTTGAGCTAATATAAAATATAATAGAGTTTCAAGGACCATTGTGATGATCCAGAAAATATCCATACCCACCCCCTCTCCCCCATGGAGGGCAATGAAAATTCTAAGGGGTGGTGCTCTGTTAAGCAAGCTATTATTATTTTACTGTTAACGTTCTTTTAAACCAAAAATATTGTTTTCATCAATGATCCTTTTTTTACAGTCGGCTGATTGTTTTTTTTACAGCTTTCGCAAAAAAATAGTTGTCACAGGCTCATGCATAAACTTCAAGTTAGCTAACTGTTGCTGCTGTATTACACAATATATTGTGGTATTCACCGCAATGTGGCCGTGTTCTAAGCCTTCTTCTAACATGTTTTTAACTAAAAGTCCTCTTGATGTTTAGTTTGAATGTAACTGGTTCTCTTTTTTGTCGTGTAAGGTATCGCCTCCATGTTTCTCATTGACTTACCTTTAACTATTAACTGAGAAAAAATTTTACAAGGCAAAATTGAGACAATTAGAAACTGTGTTTACATGAATAAAAAGATTTTTTCTCTCTTTATCGCAGAAACAATCAACTTTTGCATAACAGTATAGTGCCACATAATTTTTGATGTAAATATCTTTTCCAGGGGGTGCCTATCCAAGTCTAAAGCAAAATTGGAGGTATCGATAGTTTTCTAGAACTACACATTATATTCATTGTCATTTCATTATCCAATATATAAAAAATAATCTCCAGTCATGATCAAAAAAAGATACAACTTCACTTTCTGACGAATCTGAGTCAGAACTTTGCTCTAGCTCGGGATCTTTTTCCTTCAATGCCACAAGAGCTGCTATTTCTTCCTGTAAAATGATCATACGGCACAATATGCTTAAGCCTAGCTAGGTAAGTAGGGACGGAGGTACAAGGGTGGTATGTGGAGTGAGGGTAGGTACGAATGAAGAAAGGTGAAAGGGTGGGTAGGAATGTAGGTGGATAAGGTGAGTGGGCATGGAGAAATGTAGGTGGGTAGGTAGGTAGGAAGGTGGGTGTTTGTTTGGTACATGTAGATAGTTTAGTGGGTAGCCTAAATTTAGACAGTCAATTACTTTGAGTTGTTTTTATTCCCTCAGCAACGTCTGAAGCGACCGGCCATTAATGCCGTCCAGTGACGTCACTACCCAAAAACCGGGTAGTGAATTTCATTGGTTGATTGTCCAGACATTCACATAATGATATATAATTATGAGAAATTTTAGCAGGGTTGTCATCTGATATTTAGCAGACTGCATGGCATGCTTGCGTGGAGTTAAAAAATGACTACGAATGAAGAATCAGTACAAAGAGTCGGCAGGTTTTTCTTTATTTACAGCTGCTTTGTGGTTTCCGCAGCAACTTTGTTTGTGTAAAGACTTCTGGGATTTAAGCTTAAGTTCTAATTCTCCTTGTCATTTCCACCGTCAAGGGTAATGCTTCTGTTAGCTTTCTTTCTTCTTTGTTGAGGGTCAAATAGATTCTTTTCAGTTAAAGCAAGTTGTTGTGTTCCAAGCGTGTATTTAAGCTTATTTCATCGTGTGATTGTGATCGAGTTTGATCACTGAATTAGAACACATTTGTTCAGTGTACTGCATGCTGTTGACAGTTTAAACGTGGGTAGGTAGGAAGGTAGGAGGGAAGATTAGGTGGGTGGGTGGGTACAGTAAGTCAATGGTTGGTTGAATAGGTTGATGGGTATGAAGTTGGGTGGGTAGGCGGTTTGGTGGGTGGGTGTGCTTAGTTAGTTAAGGAGGTAAGGAGGAAGGTAGGTACAGGGGTATTCAGTAGAACAGTGTTTTAACAATCGCTGAATCGTCTGATATAAATGGGAAGAATTAACTCTTACATTAAGTCTTTCAATTTCCTTCTTCTCCTGCTCCAAACGTTTTCTGAGCTCATCACCAATAGAAGTTAGTTCCTATGAACAGAAAACAAGGTAAATTCAGTCTTATCTAGGTATCTTTCAAAGACAGATGGATCTGAATACAAATAGTAAAACCAACCAAAAGTGTCTATGTTAAATAAAGAAATAATCACGAGAAAAAGATACACGAATGAAATCAATGACAGACCAGCATGCAAAATAATACAAGGCAAAACTGGATATGACACCTTGCTCTAAAGACAGCTGAGTGATAATATTGTCAGAAACAAGTGATTTGACTCCAAGTACTCGCAAAACTTTATAGTTACGTTTGTACGGTGTTGGATATAAATTTGGCCCTCACTCCCCCAACATGACTCTGGGCAGCTACATCTTCGTTACTTTTTAACCAATCGCTCTCAAACATGGCAAAAAAAATCGATCAAACACTCTTTTCAGCAATGTCAAAAGTTGGAAATCTCCTGTGGATGGGAAATATTTCCTTACCTCTTGCTCCAGTAACAGTTCTGCCTCAGAAGCTTCTAAAAGTGAAATTGCTCCTGAAAGACAATTTTACATTGAACGTTAATATTCAGGTTATTTACTTTTCTTGAAACATAAATGACATTGGCCAGGCAAGAGGGCAGGGTTATCATCTCAATTTCTTTTGTCAGCAGTCATCAAAGGTGTTTAAGAAGATCTTAAGGAGAGTAGCTCTTCTGGGCAATCATAATTTCAGTCATTACATTTTGTTGCACTTAACATGGGTGCTATGCAATCTGTAATTTAATTAACATTATGTAAAATGATTGTATCTCAAGTAAATGTGCTAGTTATTATGAGCTGGTTAAAATGTTTTTATTACTTTGACATGCAAAATGTATCATACCATCCTCTTCATCTTTTGTTTCAGTTGTATGCTCTTGTGTTTTCTGTTGTTCTTCTCCCTGATTTGACTGCAATGCATGTCGCTTAGCATGTCTCAGCTGGAACAAAATAAAATGACAGGACTAGTTCACTTAATCAGTCAGGTTTTACCAAAACAACCAATATTTAATAAGATGACTATTGAGAGAGCACCACTAAAATTGCAGAGCTGCAAATAACAGTGGTTTGTTGGACAATGTCCAAATATTTCAATGCAATCTCAACTACCTATGGACATGATGTGATCATGTCTGGGCAAAGTTAACACCAAATTCATTGGACAGATGAATAAAATCTAACCTCAGTACTTATGAACGTCTACAGCAACCAGGAATGTAGTTGGGATACAAACAGCAGATTTTTTGAAATGTCTTGAAAAGCCCTATTTTTATAAAATTCAATATTGCCCTTTAATTTGATTCCATGCTTTCTTTTTTTATTTGCCGTGTTATTGAAACTTTCCTCCCATGTCTAAGAAGTTAAAGGTAGACTTTTGAGAAAACAATAAAGGTTAGTTACAGTTTGCTCAATTCAATGGTCACTTTCCAGAGCCTGGATTTGGTTAAATCTCGACACAAAGTTCTGAACTGCTCCTTAAATTCTTGTTAACAGGTAAAGTATCTTTGTTTGCTGACATCATTTACCTTCCTTTTTAGTAAGGTAACCTTTCTTTGCACTTCCCAAAGCATCTCATCTTGTCTGTCAGGCTAGAAAATAAAAAAAGACAAAATATGTAAGTTAGAACAAGTTCCCACCCTTGGGATTGATCGTACCAGCAGTTTCTGGACACATATGGCTACATGTGTATCACATCCCCATGGGATAATTGAAATTGTTATATTTCTAGACTTTCACTCAACTAAACAGGGACTGCCACCGGTTGATTCTTGGTGACATACCCTTGACTAAAATCAAATTAATGTATCCCGACTGTGATACATTAAGCAATGCACCCGGCTCGGGATACATTACAGCATGTGATCAAAGCATGGTGGAAAGTGGCGTGACAGAAGGCGAGAAAAACACTGCCAGTTTTCTTTCTCGTGAATGAACACATTACAACACAACCACGAAGCCTCAAGCTAAAAATGATTTTCAAAGTTATCCCAGAAGAGAAACAGCAGCTAGTGTAGGAAAAAGATGCAGATAATATAAGGAAAGTACTTTGTAAATCATTGATTCAGCTGGGGTTTTGAGAATTAAATTTGTGTTCTTATAAGTGCTGAGTCGACTGGTTTGGTTCACTCAGCTTATTCTTTTGTTGCTGTTGAAGTGAAAGTCCAGAAATTATATAACAAAACATTTAATGTCAGGTCCCTCCAGAAACCAGTTACTTTTGTTTTCCTTCGAGTCCTGATGTTTCCCTTGACTTCGTCTCGGGGATCTGACATTAAGTGTATAGTAGCAAAAACCAAACAAAAAAAAAAAATTACGGCTTCCAACAAAACTCCCAAAAAAATCTCATGTGGAATTTCTGAGTCTTATAAAAGTAAGTGAGTCTTGTGCTGATAATTGCATCATAAATGGACTCATACCCAGTCCCTCTTGGTTTGAAACCAGGCAATAGTAAGCCTAAGTGGGATGGAGATTGTTGGTCTCTAGTTCAGTGTAGCTTTGCAAGATACAGCTGCTGAAAAATGGTCTGATACAGGCCAGGTCTACGAGGGTCTTAGCAGTAAACCCCCTTCCTATAAATTCATAGAGCAACTCTGCCAGGATTCAAAGAACAATTTTAGCACCTCCTCCCACCACCTGCATTAAATCTGTCAACCTGTGACATTGACGTTTCCCAGTATCTGTCACCTGAAGGGAAGAATAAGTCACCAGGGGGTCACTGGGTGGGGATCAAGCACAGTTCTGTCCCCTCTCTCTGCCACCTGGACTATACTGAGAGGTATAGAACATCTCTGCACATCTACAGCCATTTGAGAATAAGGCTGTGCTCTAGAAGAGCCTGATGGGCCCTGGTACCTTAAACTTTTGCTCTTGAGTGAGTTCAGAGCACTGAGCTCCCTTCAATTTTTCTTAAAGCACAGCCTTGGAGAAAAGCCTTCATGAAATTGAGTGAGAATAATGCATTTAAGTTGGTGCATGATAGACATATTTAAAGCTAACTGCTAACTTGTACCTGTGCATTGTCTGTATTCATGTTGAGTTCTTCATGAAGCTGAGTAAGAATTGCTTCTTGCTTAGCCAAAGCAGAAGCTAATGCACTGTGAAGATAAAATATTGATTATTTTGAGTAATAATGCAAAATCAATTACATACATTGTCCCTAGTGAGTAATAATTTCTCATGATGAAGCTACTAACAGTTAGAGAGGTTAGAAAATAATGATAATTTATGTGCAGATCTGCAAATAACAGTCAGTCTTTGACTACAATATTTGTCCACATCAAATGAAATCCTACATGTACCTACCACCACACATTTGGACATACATAACAAATACCAAAGACTGCCGGTTAAGTAACTGATTGGCTTGTATGTCCAACAATTTTTTTTGTTTGACTGATTATTGAAACATTAACCTGGTCAGACATAAGTCCTAATTCTATAAAAATATATATATATATATATATATCCTCCAAGCCTGGATATATGTGAACAGTAATTATTAAACAGCAAATTTTTCATGCAACTGCTTGATGATTTTTTAAGTATACTATATTGCATAATGCACTTTAAAAGCTAAGCAGTATTGATTTCTTTGATAACAAAGAACATGAAGATGTTTTAGAGACCAAACACATAGTCCTCATGCTCTTGATTACGTTTAGAGCCTCTATGCCCAATGAACATAAAAATTCAAGCACAATAATTAAAATCAAATCAGTTCTTGCTCTGTGAACTTGTATTGTTTTTTCTACTGCATCTTACTTTGGACTACTGGGTAAATCCTCTTCATCATCACCCATTCCAACAGACATTGTAAGAGGTCCACTGTACCTTTAACAAAAAAAACACTACATGCTTCTAATAATTATTACTGAGCCTTTCATAATAAATTAATAATAATAATAATAATAATAATAATAACAGATTGAGGAACTTTGTACCCCTTGTTAATACAGCCATCTTTTCTCTTTGTAAAAAGGAAGTTAACCAAGTAACTAAAAATGAAATGGGACAGCAAAAATGAAGAAATGAGTCTTGTTGCTGCTCATTGTTTACAATAACAAGTACCAAAAAACAATAAAATCGACCATGCTCTGTTGATTTCACCAACTCAAATATAATATTTATTTATTTGAAAGGCTAACTTATAGGCGCACTAAATCCTCATTTACACTGCTTGTTTGTAGTTGTTTTTTGAAGTACATTTTGAAGTACATTACTAGAACATAACATTGACTATTGGAAGATCTACTCTGATCTACCCATCAAACTAAATTAAAAGACTACCAAGGTCTTTGGTCTCATAATTATGTGCTATTAAACCCTTTTTTCAAATGACATAAGCTTTATTCATAAAAAAAATCCTTGTACTATATTTTTTTCATAAAAAAACTTAAACCAAATGCCACCACTATGGTACTTACTTTGTGAGCTTTGTATCAGGGAAGAGGTCATCGACGTAGTTCAGGAAAATGAACAACACACTGTGTCCTACGTTCATCGTTGGGCTCAGAACTATTCCAATGTTCTGTAGGTTCATTCTGTTTGATGAATACTAGAGGAAAAAAATAAGGATGTCAATTGTAATTGTTTAACATCTTAAGTTAGGTAAAGTGATGAACTTCACATGTCATGCTGAATCTAATGCTAATAAGCAAAATCTATTGATCTTGCCCATTAGCATTGAGTTTCGCACATTTGAAGTTTGGCCTAGCCCTAAGGTACATTACACGATTCAATAACAAATTACAGTTGAACTTTCCATAAATGGACAGCTTCGCAAACAGCAGATCAAGATCATTATACAGTGTAATAAGGATTAATCTTAATTATGCCCCTACACAACAGATGACAATAACATTTGATGGTGATGATGGTGTTGATCATGAAAATGATGATGAAGATGATGGTTGTGCTGATGATGACAATGACATCAAGTGATGAGGATGATAATGACAATGATGATGATGATGATGATGATGATTAGCACTACAAATTAGGGTGATTCCATGTTGCGGACATTACGTTCACATACTAAAATTAATATTTTAAACCCCAATTTAGATGTCAAAATGTTCATTAAGGGTGTTCAAACATATCTAGAAAGTATTTTTAGTGCTCCCTTTGTACCTAATAAAAAGATGCTTTGGTTAGCTCTTAAGACCTTGAAGGTATGAGTTGAAGAAAGTGTGTTGCAGACATTACCGTTTAAACAACCACTTTTTAAAGTAACTTTCTTTAAAGAGATTTTCCTGTGAATTTTTAACCTTGAGCAGAAAATAATTGTGCCTTCAAAACATAACAATAATTAGATTTTTCAACAGTCAAAAAAAAATTCCATGCAACCTTGTTCCAGTGATTCTACAAACAACAGTTTGTGTTGTCGACATTACACAAAATTGTTGCGGACATTACATTTTTGGGAACACATTTTTTATCATTCACTTCCTAGTAAGTGTTGCTGACTGTGGCTATGTCCATTTGTTCTGTAGTTACTTGTCTAAAAATGAAGCTGTGAAATTATCATTTACTTTATTTATGTTCTATTATAATATTATATAATCTCCTGCTGAGACCTAGTATCATGCAATACCAGTCAGATTTTTTTCTGCTATACTGACCCCTTAAAATAATTTTCACATGTGTAATGTCCGCAACGTAATGTCCACAACACTTTTCAACTTATAATTTCTGAGCAAAGAAAACCCACCCAGGAAATGTTTTGAGATTAAAATAGAGTATACATCAGACTAACTGAGCAGCATCAATAGCACATGAAAATACAGCACACTGTGTACAGGAACTGAAAAAAAATACGTTAACCTAATGTCCGCAACAAAAATTCAATGTCAATTTTCTTAGGAAAGTGTCAGTAGCTGGATAATAATTTATAGCCTAATGATAGTGTAAGGCAAAGGTTATAGTACACACATACTTTTATGTTAACTGTAATGTTTTCTTAGATGTTAAAACTTTGTTTAAAATTTCCTTCCATAAATTCCAAATATAATGAGATTCAAATTCTCTGGATTTCATGCCTTCTCACATTAAGCACATGGACAAGACGCACAAGATCTCAGTAATTTCAAACAGCCCATTGTTTCAGCTTTCTGTTGGTTAAGTTTCATTGTGCAAAATTTTATTTTAAAAAATTCAAAATTTCATTGTCTCGCGTGGAATTGCCCATTAAATCATTATGGGATGGCTTTCACCTTTTCTATGAGAAGAGACACATGAGTGAGACATTATGAGACATAATCCCCCTATACAACAGATTGATGATGATGACAACAACGGTGATGATGATGATGTTCACTACAAATATGATGATGACGATGGTGGTGGTGGTGGTTGTGATGATGATAATGATGATAATGACGTCAATGACAATGAATGATGATTCTGATGATGATGATGATGATGATGAGTTGCATTACTAATAAAATCATTATGGGATGGTATTCACCTTTTCTATGACATGAGACATGTGAGTGAAGAGCCATGCCAACAGTGTCCTGTTACATGACGGCAGCTCAGTAAGGAGCTGTTTAGTTTTTTCCACTTGTTCACTTCTGTCCTTGATACCTATAGTAAAACAATAATGCGACGAACAGCTACAACAGCTACATATGCAAAGGGCTTCCACTTGAACAATCTTTTAGAAGTTGAGGAAGGAGAAAGAAATGGCATGCTTATGGTACTTATGAGCAGAATATTGCAGTGTACTTGATGCAAAACACAGACAGAATTACTGATTATTTCAAATTTTTTTTTGTTTCTGACTGGCTCAAATCCCTTGGCTAATTCTTCATAAACAGATAGTGTTCACCAAATATGGAAGATGTTTGCCTGATATGACATCAGTAGTACAAGGTAAATGCCAGAAATAGGGATGACAGGAACCTCTGGGGACAAGGTTGCATTGTTTTGGTAGAGCACTGGAAAATGGCAGAATATTTCACTCATTTTACGAAGAAGAAATAGCTGAAAAAACATAGTAAGAATACAACTTAACATGATGGATGACACCTGCTATTTGACGATAAAATTGACACAAAGCAATATTATTTTTGGATTCAGTTTTCCTATGATCTGAAGATCAGAATTAAACAGATTGAAGAGGGTGTTATCTGTTGAGAATATCAACAAGAAAAAAAGAACCTGACCAGTTATCCCTAGCCATTTTGACCTCAAAATTGTCAAATAAATGCATAAAATTAATGAAAATGACTCTTGCCGGTGTCTAGATAGATAGATAGAGCCGTATCGGAGCTGTATAGCTTGGGAAAAACCCCATACTAATTTGGGAACACAATTTATATTGGAATTACGTATACAATAAATTACTGTAAACCTAATTCCAATTATAAATTGTACCCCCAGATTAGTATGGGGTTTTTCCCTAGCTATATGGCTCCGGCTTACTTTTATGTTAATTATTAATATAAATAAGTAAACATATTAAAACGAAACATAATGTATTACAATCTAATGAGAATCTAAAATGAGCAGTATTTAACAATTATTCGCCGAAGGCAAAGTTAATATTGTTGAAGAATCCCCGAGACGGAGTCAAGGGGATTATTCAACAATATATTCACACAAAGTGATCTCAACAGAATCAGAAAGGAAACCATTAAAAAAATATTAGTTTGATTGACAGGTGAATTCATGTGTGAACACGAAGCCGTAAACAGTGGATGCGCAAAAGTTAGATCTTTACAGTATCTTCAAAAATGGCAAACAATAGTTTTAATCTTTTTGTATCGAGTTTTGTAAGCTTTAGCATCAACGGTTAAAAAGAAAACGCCGAAAACTTATATTATTATCCAATTCTGAGAAGAAAAGTGGAGCTTTATTTGTTTCTGTCAACTCACTGTGAATGAGAAAGTTTTCTTTGTCACTTCTTGCAAATGCTGTCAACAGCGGCTCCGATCAAGGTGAGCATTGTTTATCTCCAATGTTCTTTGCCTTGTTAACTTGCTGGCACGTACAATTTTCAAAAATATTTGCCTTCCTCTTTTCTCCATAAATTAACTTCTATTTATAGGCAAAATTGGTCTTGCGAGAAAATCCCGAAATCACAAAACAGTGACAAAGCGGCCTCATTTTCCTCTGTAGTGGTAAACATAGCTTCAAGCGTACAAAAAGTCAGCTATTGTAAACCACTTCACAATAGATGACGCTGTTTAAACACCATGAAGTCTTTTCTTGTCTTTAAAGTCATCAGCACTTGGATATTTGTGTATTTTCAAAAAGGCTTTACTATGAAACTTTGGGAAAACACCCAGTTCACGACAGCGATTTTGTTCTGCTTTATATTCACTGCCTAGTGCGGTGAATATAACGTCATAGTCCGCGATAGCGAACCAATCAGATTACTTGAATTACCAAGATCACTGAGTGTGTATATACTAATCACTATTATAACAAGACTGAAAATTGTAAAATTAAATTATTATGATGAGCAGAGAGAACAGCCCTTACATCCATCATCTATCACTGAGCTTACATCATCTGATAGATTATATTGATTTTTTTAAAGTAACAGGTATTGACTGAATTATTCCACTAGGAATACATGTACAATATGCATTTGTTTACTTACTGGAGATTTCATTAAACTTTGGAACCAATGCAGCAGTAAGGATGTTTTCAGGTAACTCACGAAGATAAAGTTTTATCAAACTTGACACAGCCTCAGCTTCATATTCATGAAGATCCACTGTTTTACCTTCAAGAAAAACAAACAGAGTACAATCCAAAGACTAAGCAACATGAGGCAAATTAACCCAAAGGGTATTATGAATAAAGTCAAATTCTAGAGAGCTAAACTGTCAGCTTTTTTCAAGTCAAAGGAATATGAAATATAATTTTCAGAAATGACTACCCTGAGTTCTAAGGATGTTTTGATGATTTCTGAAGACATTTACAAAAAACATAAAAGGTCTTCAAAGTTCTAAGTTGCAGTGCTTTCCTTGCTAAAAATATCAGTGACAGCCCTCACTCAGAGGTCAAATTCCATAAAGCTAAACTGCCAGCCTTTTTCAAGTCAAAGGTATATTAGATGAGATTTAATTTTTACCAATGACTACCCACAAAGAGAGCCAAGAGATTTCTAAAAGATGTTTTCATGACATCTAAAGATATTCAGAAGGTCGATCTCCAAAGTGCTCAGTTTCAGTGCTTTCCCTTTATATACAAACTGATATGATTGGTCTAACTGATGGTCCATTGGTACCAATGGTACGATTGGTACCAATACAAAATGATGTCATTCCAATAGAGTACTAAAGTGTGACGTCATAAAAATGAAATTTCTGAAATTATGGGATTTGTCAGGATATTCTGAAAGAACAATGTCCAAGAGGCCTGCTTGCCAAAAATGAGCATTTTGGGGCAAATTGTCTCTGAGATCGTAGCCCAGTTATGCTTAGAAAACTCCATACAAACCCTTCTAAATTTTTTTGGGGTCGACCCCCAAAAAATTTACAAACTCGTAAAATACTAACTTGGATCAGCTTGTTCAAGACGTTTCATTTCCTACTAAAAATAGACATTTACTCCAGTCTTTTCTACATGTTAATTCAAAATCTCTGCATCCTGTTACAACTTTATTAAGTCTAAAAATGTACCTCTACTCTGGGGAGTGTACCCATAAAAAGTCCATTTTAGAAACTACCTCCCCCCGCCATGATTCATACATGTACTTTCTGCTTCATTAGCTTAATGAGAAAAATATATCGCAGACCACTGAATGGTTATCCCTGACATTAATAAACATATTAAATAATAATAATGTATACATTTGAGTAAATAAAATATTCCACAATACTTTCTTCAATAAAGATCATTATTGAACTTTTTTCTAAATTTTTAAACTAAAAAAATTATGATTAGTCTTGCCAAAGGACCAGCACGTTCAATGATATAGAACATGAAAGAGGCCTATGTTGATGTGGCCAGAATATTTTAATGCATGCTCAAGAGAATTAAAGCTGTACTAAACTGGTAAATGTAATATCTGTCTTTGAGTTTAACAGTAAATACTTTCAATTTTGCACATACCTTGATCATAGCTTTCTCTCAAGAAATCTATTTTAGACTTTGTCCCAGAAACTCTGTAAATTCCCTCAACCTCAAGGCCTGAATACAGTTAAGTGCTGCATTAGAATATTATTCAAAACCTCTTGAAGTCTGAAGTTTCTGGGTGTTTTTCATTACGGAGACAAATACACATGTACTAGATACAATTAACGTATGTTTCTAGAATAGGTGACAAAATTAGAAACTTTGCCCTAAAGGGGCTTTCTGACTTCCAAAATAAAGCTTTTCCTCCCCCATCCCCTCCATGCAATGTTGTGCCGCTGTTCGAGTTACCTATAGAAAACAACAAACACCCCAACTTTGAATGAAGGGGAAGGGGAGGGGTGTGGATTCTTTTGTTCTCTGTAGTTACACTATTTGAGTAAAATGTCTCAACGATTTTGTCGCTGATTGTGTTTCATCCAGTTATGCAATAATAGTGCTAATCCATATCCCTGATTGTCAAAAGTACCAGTAGTTAGTAAGATTGTATATATTAACAGTAGTTCATTTTAAACTTCAAAAATGATGGCTTTCCCTTTTGCTAAATATCCTCCATTCCCCCTATTCAGTGTTGAAATAAACCAGAACTATCATAGCATTTAAGCTTTGCTCAGAATTGGGCCAAGGGTGTGGAAAAAAGGAAATAAGAGGTAAAAAGTAGCAGCCTCCCCAACACTTTTGAAGATGATTGTAAAAGTCATAACAACTCATGATCATGTTACGGTAAGAGCTACAGTAGCTGCCCGGCTTTGAACTACTTGGTCTAGGAGAAATAATAATTCTAGTGATGGATTGGAGGGGGAAAAAACACAAACATTATACATTTGTTTTATCAACTGAGTTGATCACTTGCAACCAAACTAAGAGTAAGAAAATGGTGACTTACAGTTTTCTTCAATGTGAACAATTCCTTCCCGGAAAACCCTGGGCAGCTCAACTCCATCTGGAAGTCTGGTTTGTTTAGTTGCCACTTCTAATGGGACTCCAAACACTGGTTTTCCTAAAGATTGAATTTTGAGCCCAAATTAATTACATCACTACAGTCTGCATAATATATGCATGCAAATCAACATGTTTAGTCTGGTTTTCATGTGATTGCCATGATTTCCATGGATAATCACCTAAAAACAAGCATTTTTAGCAATCTAAAATAATGATAAATTCACAGCTTTTCACCAAACAGTCACAGGAGACTTAATAAAAAATAGAGTGAGCTTGAGTCTTTCTTAGCGACATTCAAAGTGAAAGATGTGATTGTTACAATTACAGAAGATTTTACTCCATGTGATCACAACATGATCATGACACACAGAGAACTTAACAATCATGTGGAAACCAGCCTCTACATGAACCAAAATATATTTTATGATGTTAATGATAATAATAATAATAATAATAATTCTCAAAAACATACTTTATTAAACTCTTCTCAAATTGAAAATTAAATACAAATTTAGTATAACTATAGTAAAAAAAGACTTCTTGGTGGTCTGGTGGTTTTCAACAAAGCAAATGTAAACAACTGTCTATAAACTAAAAAATGAAATAATAATAATAATAATAATAATAATGATAATAACAAATTACTTTCTTCAACTTAAGGCCACCAAAAAATGCTACAATATAGTACTGAATACTAGACCTCTAGCATAAGCAACTCAATTTTACTTGGTGCTTGTGGAGGCGAAAGGTTCTCTGTTTTCTTTTTCTTCTTTTTCTCTTTATCCTTTTCCTTTTCTTTGTCCTTTTCTTTCTCTTTTTTCTGCTTTTTTGTCTTGATGCGCAAAGCCAGTGATCTAGACTTCTCCCTTTTCACTTTCTTCCCCTTGGGCCTGGGAAAATAATAACATTTAATAGCCAAAAATGCAAGAAAATTAATTGAAGCAAAAATAATTGGTTGTTAATAATTATTGATCTTTTGTTCCATTATCTTTTGGTCCAAGCTAAAAAAAAACTGGTAAGCTCCCTCTCTTTCGGGGTTTATGTCAGCAATCAGATAACAAGATTTACAGCAATAGAAGATGCTAACAAATATTGTATGACTGAGGTTCCCACTATGCTGTACTTAGAATACCGGTAACTTTTCATAGCCTCCTTAGTAAGTTATCTTTAAATTACGGTAATGTACATTACCTGATTAGTCTACACCATTATTACTCTTAAAATGAAGATATCAGCTTTTAATATATTTTCTTAAGGAAATCTTTTTATATATCTAAGTAAGTTTTGTAAGTAAAGGTGATGGGCCAAGGGACTGGCAAAATTTGTCCTCTATAACAAGGTTAATATGTTATATCGAGGTTCTTTTTCATATATTTTACTATTATTGGGATGAAAAGATCGTTCATCGTATCAAGGACTTTGTTATATAGAGGTTCATTATATCAAGGTTCCACTGTATTCCTGTTACATGTAAATAAGTATACAACATGCATTAAAATGTTCTGAAGAACATTCTTATGTAGACAGCTATCCTTAAGAAATTTTTTAATAGGAAACAAATTTAACAATTTTTGGTTTATTGACTAGCTAGTACCATAGACTGCGAGCAGTCTCTCTTTTTCTTCAGATTTAGTGGGAGCAATGCACGCGCGCGGGAGCGGCGAAGCCGCGAGACGCGCGAAACGAGGGCGGCAGCCCGAGAAGAAAAAAGAGAGACTGCCCGCTTAGCCAGAGCCAATGAATTAAGCGTTGGCCTCACAACGCAAAATACGATTGGCTGATTTGTGAGGCGTTGACAACAAGCTGTCAACAATCGAAACCATTGACAAGTGGATGGTGGCTGAAGCACTGCAGGAAAGTTTGTCACGTTTCCCGAAAAAAAAAAACATTAGATACGGAGCAAAGAGAAGCATAAGAAGGTCTCATCTCTCCCGGTACGTGACGTGATCGCGCAATTTAAATGCTCAAAGCCTTTCTTCACTGTCAAGGAACGCTTTTGTTCCAAAACGGTTGTCTTACTTTGGAAATTAAAACAGAAAGTAGCATTAGACTGTTTATTTTATAAAGCTAAAACAATTGTAATTACCAAAGGATACACTACAGAACATCGCGCTAAAGAACAAAGATTCTCAAGAAAGAAAGAAAAAACAAATCGAATCGGCGCCCAAAGAATGATCTTGAGTGACTTGCAGCGTTGGCTTAGCTTTAGTTAAGCTACAATTAGGATATGTAGAACACTGTCCCGTGAAAATTCAACATCCTGCAAACAAAAACTAGGCCACGGGTGATCTCATTCAAAACATAAAGCACAGGAAATGAATTATTCATATAAAAGAAATAGACCAGCTTCATGACCTCTAAATGTGAGACCAGCGGCCAAAATTAAGATTTGCTCCGTCAATTAGAATCGACTCTAACTCTATGCACTGCATAAGCTGCGCTTTAAAAAGAAAAGTAGAAAAACCTCTGTTGTTCAAGCAAACTCTAAAGTCACGTTTCACGTGCCTGGCCTGTCAACACTTTAGTTTTGACGCCAAAAAATCACTAGACCGTGAAAGACCATTCTCTCTGGCTTTGCGGGTAGTCTCTCTTTTTTCGTGCCTCTCCCGTCTCGCGCCATCAGTCACGCGCGTGGCCATTTGCGTTTCTCGCGTTTTGCTCGACGGACTACAGAAAAAAGAGAGACTGCTCGTAGTCTACTAGTACCACAGACATGTAAATCAAGTGATCATCATCAGCAGCAGGAAAAAGCAGTGAAGTGCAAAGCAATTAAAATTTCCGGCAATTTTAGCACTCAAATTTGAGAAGTGTTGGCCTGATGTTTTTCACTAACAGGTATAATTATTTTACTTGCAAGACACTGTGAATAAGAATGAATGTTGATCAAATATCAATGGCAAGGTACAGCAATTTAGTACCTTTTGAGTTGCTCACCTTTTTGTTTCCAATGACATTATCGCTTTTTTCACACAAAGCCCTTCACTGTTTTCTTGATGATAATTATTCAATAATAATTAAAAAATAAATTGTACAGTGTATCTCTGTTGTAATTGTAATTGTATGATCAAATTATTGCATTTCTGTGATAAAGCTCAGTACAGTTTAAAAATGCTACTTCATACTTGAATAGTATAAACACTGGCCAAACCAAAGCACTACTTTACAAATGGAAGAGCCACTTTGTACCTGATCGCAGCAAACTGGCAACAGGGCCCATCAAACTCTGAGTCCTTTCTTAACTTCTTTGTCAAAAAGGAGAAACAAGTTGGTCTAAGCATTTGTAATTCCTTGAGGCTCTCAACAGAAAGAGTGCTAACAATTTTTCATTGTCATAAGAAATATATAGAAAAATACATTTACATATTTTCAACAGAGGAAATGACAGCAAAAAACTGAAATGTACCATTGGCCAATGAAATGAGAGAAAATCAGGCTTGAACTATTTTGTTTCATCAAATGATATATGCTTTGAATATAATTTAAACATAGTAGATCATGTATATTAGCATCAATAATTATAGATAAAATGTTTTTTTTTTTAACAATATCTTGTTATGAAATACCAAAGTGTTATAACACAGGATCTACATCTACATCTACATAAATTTTAAGTTCTACAAACTAAGGGGGGTACCCATCACTGCAAGACATTAAAAATAAACTACTGAATGTAAATATTTACATAGCCAAATAAATGGGTAAATAGTAGGTAAATTTAAAAAAAATGGAAATTGCGATAAAATAATAACAATATTAATGTAGTAAAAATTGTCATTTGTTAGTTAAAAACTTCAATCACTCTAATCTAATCTAAGTGCTTTATGGAATAATGGGGTTTTTTCTATAATAAACTACTAATAATAAACTGCTAAATTTCTATACTAAACTACTACTTGATATAATAATGTAAAACTGTGAACCGAGACGATCATGCTTAACCTACTTACAATAATAACGTTATTAATGTACTTACTTTATTGTAGAAACACCAGCATGCATTTTTTAAAACTGTATCTTCACTATATTAATGTGAACTAAAGAAAACGGAACCCCTTTGCAACGTATGCAATAGATAAATTAACACGCTTCAATAAAATTGTTTGGGGTTTTAATTATTTGCCAATCCCGAAAAAGAAATGAAATTAATGATAAGCTTAATGATAATAGGATGGATCGGATATTACACCCAGATATACTGGGATAAAAGATTAAAGAAAAACTTAATTTATATTAGCCATCAGTGCTTCTTATCACAAAGGATTTAAATATGTATTTGCGGCATCATCAAAGGACAGGTCCATGCCCACCTTGAGGACGACGGTACGCGCGATCAAGGTACACAAACCCACAAAAATTTAAAGCTTCCGTACATGCAGGTTATCTTCAGTTATAATCCCCTTTTAGGTGCTTAAAATGAAACCAAAAGAATTCTCAAAAAAGCTGTCACGAGAAGAGGGGGAAGTTCTACACCCTCCAAGGAACGTGTACACGTAAAAAAATGAAATTTTACCTGGAATCTTCTTCTTCTTCTTCTCCGACGCTGTCATCGTCTGAGCGAAACGCAATGTAACCTTTGTCTTTTTTGCTTTCTTTCCTCTCAAAAGCGTCTTCTTCGCGCTCAGCCATAAGTAACACCTCTTTTGTCAGAGTAAATCGTATTCACTTTATCTGGCGATATGAAAAAAGCTCCATTTCTTAACACAAAACAGCACCTCCCCTCCCGAAATCCGCCATGTTAAACATTGTGCTAGTTCCCTGTTCCCTGCGGATCAATTCCAACGCCCGGCTACCAAGGAACTCGTTGTTATGACAACGGAGAACACTACGATCAAATTCTTTGTTGTTCGAATGCTTGGCCTTTTTCTTGGATTTTCCATCTTCGGCGTTTACTAGTTCTTAGATTTTATATCACCAAAGTCTGTTTCATTTATTACATTGATCAATCTCGTGTGTTTGTGCTTGTGTGAGGGAAGATGGCAAAGCTCGACACGAAAAACGATCTGAACCGCGTTGGTTTGTTCTCAGAGCTTGGATACATTTCGATTGGCGACCCTTACAAGCGGCAAAGCACAAGTAAGTAGACGATTTTCCCCATTTTAATCTGCGTCATTTCCATTCTAAGTGTAATAAAGGACGTGAGTTCTGCTTTTTAGCTTTTGTAAAGCCGGACATGGAAGAAATGATGGTCTTCGTTCTTGTTTTTACATGTTTGTTTGCATTGTCCACAACATACTGTTCCGCTTTGGTGGACACTATACATTTAGCAATTTAGGTAGAAAACCTTTTAATAGGAAAAAAAAGAAAAAATTTTAACAGCTCTCACATCCTTGCACTAGTGGTCAATGAATCCCCGGTCGTTTTATTTTCGTTTATGTTTGACAATCTCTGAAGAGACCATGCGGTAAGTTATAGATGCCTTGGACATATAGCTCAAATATAACACAAAATCAAGAGCCATAGGAAAAAACTCAGTCTGTACTTAAGACATTACAGACCTCAAACCTGTATCTGTAAATAGCAAAATTTGATTGTAATTATGTTCATTGGAGTGCTGAGCCGTGTATTTGGCAGAAAAAAAATTCTTTGAATAATATTATGCTAATGCTCTTTGTACAAAATTCCCACAGATTTCAATGTGGCAGCTCACAAAGGAAAACAGATGCTCCCTGGGGGAAGTAAAACAAGATCAGCACTTCAAGCAGGATACTTTGATCAAAAATTCAATAGAATAATGGAAGGTGAAGCATTCTCTGATCCAGTAAAGCGAAGACGACAACAAAAACTCAAAAGCTCAAAGCTTAACTTAGGAAAGGCTTTTGTTCCAAGCAATGGAGAGAAACTACCGTAAGTTTTGTGTTGTCAGTGTATTACATCCATGAGACATCAAGTTTTGTTTTACTCTATTTCAAACCAAAAGGGCGTGAAAACCATTACAAGGGATTTTGCCTTTCCCCTACTCACCCCCTCCCCCCATCATGCAAGCTGTTTCCCAGAATCCCCTTTAGCTAGCATGCCTCGATCACAAGTTACTTTTGTTGATTGGTTGGTCGATTGATTGCAAAAATCAATCTTTGATTATACAAAGTACATATTTCTGTTGATCAATAATGCAAGATCTACCTTAGAATGAATAATGAATTACCACTATAAATTTTCATTTATATAGTACTGTAGTAATTTAAAAGCTGGTAAATATGACAGAATGGAAGGGATGGGCAAGTGTGCCTGGGAATACTGACAGAATCTTCAAAATGGAACCTTGATCAAACCTCAAAGCTTCCATAAATACAGGGCTAGCCACAAAAGTCTTGATATCGTATAATTTTTTAAATTTGTCTCCAAGCTTCAAAACCTTTTTGCCATCAGGACTCAGATTGTAAAACAAGGATTCAGTGTGACCTGGTTTATGGCTTGTAGCTTGTAGAGGGGACAGGGGGTCTAAGCCTTTCACTTGCATTCCCAGCCCTCGCCCTTTTTCTGTGGCTTCGCCCTTTCAATCCTTTTTCGATATTTGCAAAATGTTAAGAGCGAATGCACAGAAAAATCGAGCAAACCGTGGCCACAGCTCAAAACCTAACCTACCCTCATTTTAAGTCTGTAAGAAGGTTTTAATGAATTTATAACACTGCTGAGGTTTAATTTTCAAAATGCGGCCGAGTTTGGGAATTATTTGAGATTTTCGATTTCAACGGTCTGCGGGCCTAAAATTAACCGCCGAACAAGGCAATATAGCCTAGCGACAGAAATGAGCTGAATTTCATAAACGAGCGAATATATTGCCAATTTTCCACTTAAATCTCAAAAAGCAGATATCTAACAATTTCTGAATGGCTTCTTTTATAGATTTAGAGTATAAAATATCGACGAACCAGCAGAATTTTGAAACGTAATTGCATAATGCTTATAAATACAACAATTTACCGCTAAAACCAAAATCGAATTTTCTATATGGGGAATTCTCCAAATCACCCCAAATCCCGCTTACTAACTAATGAGATATAGTACTTCAACATTATCTGAAAGTTAGTCTGGTGTTCTTGCGAACGCCAGAAATAGATTGATTATTTTGAAGTTATTTTGCCCCAAACAACTGCTAATTATTGACCCCAGGGTCAATTGACAATCAGTCAATCGATTTGAGCTCGTTAAAAGGGAGAAACTAACAAGATTCTTTTAATATGTACCTGTTTTAATGAAATACACGCAATCTTCAAAAGGAGAGGCCGTTCAATGGGTAATTTCTGTTCTTGAGATCTTGTAGATTGTACCATGGCGCTCTGTAGTGGACCTGAGTCTAGGTCTGTTTTCCGTGACTGCGAAATCAGAATAACATCATGAAATAATTCTCTCTCGAACCTTCGTAAATGAATCAGCTTTGCAGTGCCTTACCTGAGATAAAAAGTGGGCAGAATAGGAAAACATTCTAGCGCAATTTGGATCCTTTGCAGCACGTAGTGTATTTGCTAAGCGGCGATGGTATTAATGACTTTTTTAAAAGTCAGGTTAGTAACCAATTAAAATTAGTACTCACCTCCGATTGCGTGACCAGGCAATTACAGATTGTCTCCAGCGAAAAATAAGTGCATGTGAAACCAAAGCTTTCGGGATACAGTAAATTCATTTTCCTGTATGACCAGGTGTCCTTTTTGTCCTATTTTAAAAGCGGTTAACTAAGATGATTAGCAAACATACTGTCCCACTTTTTAAAAATGGTACAGTAACTGAATGTTCTGTTCTTCTGATTTTACCCCTAACCCCGGAGTGTTCAGAAGATATATTTGCACCACGCATGAAAGGCAAATGGATTAAATTTTAAGGTTCAAAGGCGGTTTTAAGGCATGGGTTACCAGTGGATTAGTCAGACTTGTCATAAGGTGCATTGAACAGAAAATTACAGGCATGATATCTCTGCTATTGTATGTCCATTAAGTGATTTTCCATCAAACATTATTTTTTTACTTTTTACCCCAAAGTTTTTTTTTTTTCGTTCAATTCTTATCTATGAGATGTAAACTTAGTTAAATTTCTGTAATTTGTTGTTAAATGCAAATCTGCAAATAACTAAGTATTTAATTTTGCGTAAAAGGTACATGAAATTGTACTGTTTAGTCAGTAAATCATTAAAAAGAGAAAGCATCATGCTTTCTCTTTTCAAATCTAGTAGGACTTAAGCAATGGCATTGCTTAAGTCCTAGTAGTTCTTCTCCATTTCTGCTAAGGGGAAATAGTTTGCTCTTTTCAAGAAATTGTTCTTGCCCATTGCGGTTTCAAACCAAGGATAGCAGCAAGTCTGTCGTGGTCATATACTGCTACTTCAGTGCAAGCGAAGCATAGGCGCACAAGTCAGCGCTTGCGTTTAGTCAGGTGCCGAAAATGAAGTGGAAACTTAACCCTAAGGGCGTCCATGTTCGCTCCGGCTCGAAAAGGTAGAGTCAGTTGTGCAGTAAAAAGTAATGCGAAAAACCTGCGGGGGGCTGGGGGAAAGAAAGGCGTCTTATTTTTCTTTGGCTTGTTCTATTTTCGCGACGTGCTACAGGTTACGAAATACTGACAAGCTCAATATATGTCTTCACCACCGAGAGTCACTTGCCCTTAGCCAGACACGCCCCTCACGTATCATGTTTCGTTCCTAAAGTTATTTCAAAACACAGAACCAAACCTAATCAGCGGCCGAAGGCAGAAAAGGGGATGAGCAAACGGATGTCACAGCATATTTTGCAAGAAACCGGTATCCTTGTGCCTATCGGCTCAGGAACGATTGATTACTACTAGAATAAATACCAGGGTCAGAATTTGAGTGCTACAATGGGAGGGAAGGAAGAAAAGAAAAACCGCGCGCCCTGTAAAGTCTTTTATAAACTTTCTCGTCCTGACGGTCTCAAAGAAGGGCGTTGTGGCTGCTATTTAATTTACAGTGTCTGTTGCAGGAGTCGAATTAATCCTACAGCAACTGGAAACGTGGCCACGCCTGCTCAAACTGAGATTGCTTGTAGGATATTCGGCTATAGTTTGGTATATTCACGAGCGCGTTTTGTCCAGTGAACTGAGCGCGTAGTTTTTCTTAACGAAGGGATGGGGTGGGTCAAGTGAATATTTCGGGGAACGTTTGCTCTCTTTAGTGAGGGGGGGGGGGGGTATATTTGTTGATATCAGGAGTTCTGGCCTGGATAGAGTCGTTGTAAAGCTATTTTTGCTTCGGGGTATCGGTTTCCCGGAAGATGAGCAAGGAAAATTCAATGGTGCATTTATGGAATAATAATAGAGATTCTCATGGTCTAACAGTGCGAAGATTAGACTTCTCGTAAGGTGGCAACGATCAAGGGCCGCATTATAATTCATGATAATTGAAGGTCATGATGTGGAAAAAGCGACTGAAATGGTGGATGCCATGCAATCCTCTCGGGTGGGGGCGGGGCACCTGGCCTTAACGGTTGCCCCTTCGACAGAAGGCAAGCATGCCCAGATTGTCCACGGGTTGCTAAATGAGACCGTCCCTTTCTTAGTACCCGTTCCCTGTCTTATTATTAGACCCGGGCAAATTTCTCGAGATTGCACCATCATTTTGGGCTTTTAAGCTTCCAAAGTCCAACAATAATAGCGCATGTTCGCGACGGTTTTTTAAGTCAGTCAAGTTCTTAAACCAGGCCTTAAACGGCCAGTTTTAAGTGTCGATAACAGTTAAAAAGGCATACAAGCCCCATGCAAAAGACAGTGGGAAGGAAGTACACATCGGTGATGGGGAAAAAGGACTAGCCCACAGTTATTTAGGGGTGGATCTTTCGAAACATTCTTATACTCTTGGACAGATATGCATTGTTTAAAGTTTTAGACAAAACAGGTGTAAATTTATAGTAACAAACTGTTAAATATACATCAGCAAGATTTTTGCGAATCCTATTTTTCGCTGGAGACTATCGTGTACTGGCTGGTCACGCAATCAAAGGTAACGTACTTTCCCACGTTTGTTTACTGACCTTTACAATACACTGCGTTCGACAAAGGATCCAAATTACGCTGGAAATGTTTTGCTATTCGGCCCACTTTTTATCTTAGGTAAGGCATTGCAAAGCTGATTCACTTACGAAGATTCGAGGGAGAATTATTTCTTGATGTTATTCTGATTTCGCAGTCACGGGAAAACAGACCTAGACTCAGGTCCACTCGCAGACGCCATGCTGCAATCTTCAAGATCTCAAACGGCCTCTCCTTTGAGGATTGCGTGTATTTCATTAAAACAGGTACATATTAAAAGAATCTTGTTAGTTTCTCCCTTTTAACGAGCTCAAATCGATGCATAAAACTAAGGTGACGTGCACGTGTCAACTGACCCTGGGGTCAATTAGCAGTTGTTTGGGGCAAAATAACTTCAAAATAATCAATCTATTTTACAAGCGTTCGCAAGAACACCAGACTAACTTTCAGATAATGTTGAAGTACTATATCTCATTAGTTAGTAAGCGGGATTTGGGGTGATTTGGAGAATTCCCCCATATAGAAAATTCGATTTTGGTTTTAGCGGTAAATTGTTGTATTTATAAGCATTATGCGAATTACGTTTCAAAATTCTGCTGGTTCGTCGATATTTTATACTCTAAATCTAAAAAATAAGCCATTCAGAAATTGTTAGATATCTGCTTTTTGAGATTTAAGTGGAAGATTGGCAATATATTCGCTCGTTTATGAAAGTCAGCTCATTTCTGTCGCTAGGCTATATTGCCTTGTTCGGCGGCTAATTTTAGGCCCGCAGATCGTTGAAATCGAAAATCTCAAATAATTCCCAAACTTGGCCGCATTTTGAAATTTAAACCTCAGCAGTGTTATAAACTCATTAAAACCTTATTACAGACTGAAAATGAGAGTAAGTTAGGTTTTGAGCTGTGGCCACGATTTGCCGATTTTGCTCGATTTTTCTGTGCATTCGCTCTTAAGCATTGTTGTGTAACTTCCCCTTTTTCACCTGCTTCCAACCCTTTTAGGACTCTCACCTCCTGCCTTATCCTCTCCCATCTCCTGTACCCCTGCCAAGCCCATCCTGTTGGGCCTTCACAGTCCCAGGGGCCCCACTCACATATTTTAATGATGGGGGGGCCGACAGAGGTTCATATTTTATGCCCCAAAAAATCCCAACTTCAGAATTTGTCTACCCAAAAAAATCCCTACTTTTTTTAGCATACCTAAAAAAATCCCTCAGTGTTTTTGCATCAGCAAATTAATCTTCTGGAAAGTTAAAACATGCCAACTTCAACCCTGGTTTTGCTCAAAAACAAAACTATAAATTGCGCTCATGTTATTTTTGATTTGAGCTGATGAAAAATACAATACCCAAAAAATCTCTCTGTTGTTTTCACGACCCAAAAAAATCCCTTTTGGCCAAAATGTCACACCCAAAAAAATTCTTCGGACCCCCCCCGTCATTAAAATATTTGAGTGTGGCCCCTGGGTTCACAGTATTCTCCCTAAATTTTAGCTCAGCCAGTAAGGGACCATTCATAGCTGGTAAGGCAGAAAATATGCACCAGAGGTGCACTTTCCTGGGGGCAGGGGGGTAGTGGAGTGCGGGACATGGCCCCGCCCTTAATGTTGGAAGATTTAGGAGCTTGAGTCTCTAAAACGTCGTTCCCTCATTTTAAGACCTATTTTACGCTAATCCGCCATCCATATGTTAATTCATTTCCTTGTGGCATGTGAGAATCGGATCGGATCGGATCACAACTTGTGCATTTCTTGAAAGTACTTCTTTAATTTAGGAAAACATCAGGCCATTGCAGGCGGTAACAAGTGTTGCTTCAGATGGGAAAAATTACTGGTTACCGCCTGATGAGAAGAACACTGCTTCCAACCCCAAGGGGGGACATTAATTAGACAGGAGGCATTTAAAGGAGTCTCTTAATCAAACTTCACATTGTAGAGGGGTGTTTATTAGATAAGAAGCATTTATTTGAGACTTGGCGTCGTTAACATTATTTATGGTACATGTATTTCTTGGTTGACAATTATTGACTGTCTATAGTTCAGGGGCTGGAAATCATTATGGAACATTCAGTGGACCCATCAATGCCTTCAGTCCGGTTTCAAAAGGGAAGAAAGCAGCAGATTCACCAGGAAAGAACTTCCTAACAAATCCACCAAAGAAAGGAACCGGTTATGGCTATCTTCATGTCACCATTGGTGCCCCTCCAAAATACATGTCAGATGCTTATGAACGTGCCAGAGAATTAAGAAAGGTGATTGGATGATATATACATGAAGACACTTCAAAAATAAAATAGAGTTATCAATTAAATTAAATAATATATAACCAACAATACATTAGTGTCAAAACTCATGCTCTGTACTGGCAATTAGTTGCATTGCCAACTTTCAACCTTGATTTGTGTTTTAAAAAGAAAAACTGAAAAAAAACATACTGGAGTTTGCTGAATCTTCATGGTTCATGAACTGTGAGCTTAAATTTTGCATTGTAAGGTTTTCCACTGTAGCGTTTATTACACATATTCTTTCATAATGACTTTGGTCACACTTTATAGAGTCTAATTTTGATTTAGGCTAAAATTTTCTTATTACCCACAAATGGTTGGCATTATTTCAGCCGGAATTGAGCAAAGTCTTGTCAAATTTGTCACAACAGCATCTTGCACCACAATGATGTGTTAGCTGATAGTTTTGTAACTAAAAGTGAAAAAGTGAACTTTGGTACAGAGAGAAAATGTGGGTCATAGAAATTAAAGGTTGGGGTACTTCAATTTTGTAGTAACTGTCCCAGGTTTGTGACTTGCTGAATTCTAAAAACTGTTCATAATAAATAAATATGGTTAACTGTTTTGTTTACAGAAAGAAATGGAAGCAAGTTTTAAAGCAAGAAAAGGAGGACCATATAAGCTTAATCTCCACCCAAAAGCCTTTTTTGATGGAAATCCATACAAAAGTGACAGATGTAAGTACTTTTCTTTGCCATGACTTTCATTGAAGGTGCTGTCTGCAGTGGGAGGGGTGTACGCCTTACACAAAGTCATGTAATGGAGAGTAGGGATTTCACAAATTTATTGAGGTATAGGAAAAAGAAAAGTTTAGAGTGATTGACCAAAAAATGTTTAACACCATCTTTAAAAGTTTCTCAAAGAGACTTTCCCAATGGCTGATCCACAGTTGATATTATTTTTACATTTTTTAAGTGGTTACAGTTGTATGTAAAAGACAAGTGAGTAAAAGGTTTAATTTCTTTGTTATCAACCAAAATGCTGCTACAGAGTGTTTCTTGCATAATACAGATTTTTAATGATCTAATTTTTCTTGCGTCTTTTTAGCACTTCCACCACTGAAAGAAACAAGAAAACCACCAGAGGGCCTTAAACCTTTTAAACCTAGTTCTCCACCCAAAGAGGTTAGCATTGTGTAAATAATAATAATAATAATAATAATAATAATAATAATAATAATAATAATAATAACATCATTGAGTATTACTTTTCATATCTCCTGCAAATGATCAATGTCCCACTTTATCTCTTTTTTTTTCCAAGATCTAGTTTAACCCTTTCACTCCGCCAAAAACTTCCCACATTTGATTTTGCCCTATGTGAAAACACAAAAATTGTACAAAGAAAGAACTGACAAGGAGGTTTCATTTGAATGGTGACACCATGATAGTGTTTTTTCCATAAGCTAAAACGTTAGAAGTACTGTATTACAGCATATACTAAATTATTAAATAGGACCATGTGAAAATACTGTGGAAGAGGTTTCACTTGAATGGTCACACCATAGGATTTCATCCACAGACTCAAAAGTTAGAACTACACACCAAATAAATAGTACCATGTGAAAATACTGCTGAAGAGGTTTCATTTGAATGGTAACACCATAGGATTTCATCCACAGACTCAAAAGTTAGAACTACATACTAAATAAATAGTACCATGTGAAAATACTGCTAAAAAGGTTTGATTTGAATGGTCACACCATAGGATTTGATCCACAGACTCTAAAGTAAGAACTACTTCACAGGACTCTGTCATTCACTCTGGGTGAAAGGTTAAAATTACTATGTATTGCTTTTTCAGATTGGTGGCATGAAGGCTGGATGCTTTGACAGTTATCCATCACACTCCGAAGATCCTTACATGGTAAAAAAGAAGAACACAGGTGACGCAGAAAAAAGAATCTTCAGACCCTCACAGGGTCCCAAATCAACACCAATGCGATCAGTTATCAATCAAAATGTACACAGACGAATCAACAACTTAAATTTCAGGCAGCCTGTTACTGTATCAATTTGATGAGTTAAAGATTTCTGTTAACTTAATCATAGATTAATGTGAGTTAAACCACTTATAAATAAACAGTTGTACATGATGCAAACTTCTCAGTGTTTAGAAGTCATAAGTAAACAACATATAAAGTTCTTTTTACAAATGATTTATTGTAGTTTTGCTGTCATCCTACAAATTTGTCCTACATGTATTTACACATTGCACATTGTATGAGACTTTTTAAAAAACATAAGAGAAATTTGTTCCTTCTTCATCTTAAATAGTCCATATTAAGTGAAATATTTTACTGTACATGGTTAGCAAAATATTTACATTCATAAATCTTTATCCATTACTCGGTGTAAGTTTGTGAAAGTCAGTTGAAAATTAAGTAGTGAGTAGAAAGAATGTTGTAAGTGAATTTAAAAAGAACAATAAAAAGTCATGGAGTTTCCTTAGAGCTTGATGTTGTAATAGGTAGAAAATGGATCTGACCAAGAAGTAATGGTAATTAGATTTCTGGGAAACTGCCCACCTACCCCTCCCATAACCCAACATTAACACTTACTTCTCACTTAGGGCAAAATGTTGGCTTAGGAAGGGGTAGGTGGGCAGTTTCCCAGTTCCCTCAATTATTGATCCGAAATAATTTAATGAAGGGTCTGTGACACGGCTGTTTACAGCTGTAGTTCATTTGGTTTAATAATAATGCCAATTAAGCATCCTTATTTGTTAAGGAAGTGGAGGAATTATTTGTGAATCACAAAATTACAGCCTCATGTCATACAAAACATGTCTCAAAACCATTATATTTAAAATTAGAAACGAAAAAAAGGAACTTTGAAAAACCATTAGGCTAACAAGTTCTCAAAGTCCTCAAATACAGTACAACGTACTACATTTATTGGTTTCAGTCTTCCTTAAGTTTGTCCATCCTTGGCTCCTTTGGTGTTTACTGTGTTACTTATACTTTCTTTTCATGTTTTGAGCAGTTATTTTTATGTTTTACTCAGTTTGGTAGCAGTACCCACTGTTTGAATTTTGTTAAATTTCATGACACAGCTCCTTTAAGAAGGTGCAGAGCCAAAAAAGGAACTTTTTCCTATGCCATGAAGGAATACATTACAGCCAGACAGCTGGAGAGCCATTGCAGAGCAGTTTTCTAGGATTGCCACTCACCAGATATGATCCACTTTCAAAGATGGAGTCAACATTAATTTTGATGCTGTCTGAAACCCTTGTCTGTCTCAGACATAACAAGTTATTCTACTCTGATATATTTGTAAAGCAAAAACAAAAGGCCTACTCCTGTTTCTCTCTGCTGAACCAATGAAAAAATCTCTGCCAGTTGATCGCTTGAATCCTATCCAACAGTAGCTGCCTGTAACTAGATTTTCCAAACATGAAAACCCCAAATGTCAACAGAAAGAGCACAGAGAGTAGCAAATAATAATCCGTTTCATCAACTGGTTTGTTTTTTAGTGGACCAAGGTAATCTTCCTCAGATATCTGTAGAGTGAAATTTCCCTCAACACCTACAACAAAAGGAACTTTGATTTAAGGTCTATAAACTTTTAAAGCACACCACTGGGAAACTACCTTATTGGCAATATAAATTTACAAATGTTAAATAATAATGTACAAAATTGTTAAGAACCATAAAAATCATACCTGTGTTATTCTTGATAAAGTTCCTCATATCATCCAAGGAAACTGAACTGTTGAATTTCAAAACAGGCTTCCCTGTATGAAATAACAGAATGGTAGGCACAGCAACAATTCCAAATCGAGTATTTAAGCTGAAAAGATAACAAGAATGGCAGGACCTAAGATCAACTTACATGTACTGTGAACTCTTTCATTATACAGTTTAAATTACAGTGAATCCTGTATAAGACTTTGCCTCGACCCTTGGCCTCATTATTCTGCACAGCCTATGTATTTTGAGTCACTTGGTTTGAGCTGTTCTAACTTTTCCAGGGTAGAAGGGTCACATGCCTACCCTGGCTACCCTGTGTTAGCCAAATTTTCATATGTTTCCTTAAGCCATTCACCCCTGAGCAACCCACATCCCTTCTACTGCTTGTGACATCATCAGTTTTAATGGTCAAGGACAACTTTGTCTGCTACCTTGTGCAGAGTGAAGAGATCTTTCAAATCATACCAGAATGAACACAACTCAGTCAAGGACAAAAGAAGAAAAAGGCAAAAAAACCTTGTAACATTGACCAGAAAAATTTCATGAAAATCTTGCTTCACTTCCCACTTACCTTTTCTTTTGATTAATTTTTTTCTAAGATCCTAAAAGCTTTCCAAAAAACTTTGCCCACCAAAATTAAGCCTACTAAATGCCCAGTGCTCAAAAGAAAGAAAATGAGGTAAGAAAAGTAAAAAAAGGAAGGGAGGAGAGAAAGTAAAGGAGTAAAAGTCAAGACTCCTTTCTCACTTTAAAACTCTCAAAATTTTGCTTTCGGTGCATGCCCAAACTTTGCAAGCTAATATTTTGTATCTGGATCAGAAGGCTGTGTACGACATGTAAATAGCCTTATGGTAAGTCTTTAAGCTACCGTTATGGCACAACAGTGACCAGAACATCACTTGAGTAGCTTCAAAACGCATTTTTTGGCAAAATTTTGAATGGGTTAAAAAAAAACTTCGCAAACTCTTTAAATGAGAAATAAGAAGTTGGTTCCACTAGAGGGGGTGACCCTCCTAGCCAGGTCACCCTCATAGCAGCATTTGTTTAAAAGTTTTCTCCTAGTCCATGGTCCAATACGGCAATGCCATACTGAATGGATGAAAATAACCAGCTATCTAATCCACTCCACAAGGAGACTGATTTTATGCCAAAATGAGTGGTTGTTCTGCATTTACAAGACACTGTCGGAAGATTTAATTTCACAGGAATGAAATTCTTTCTCTGGTAGTATACAGCAACCAGCATGAACTTGTGCTGCTATGGCTCCTTCGTGTATGCCTCTGGCATTGTGTACAAGAATACAGAGCCATAAAAGGGAGCCAAACCAATGCTCAGCACTGAGAATTCACTGTAGCTAATGAAAAGAGCCAGATGGATTGAAGGGTAACTTTAGTTGGAATAAGAGAAATGAAGAAAAAGAAATGTACTAGAAACCCTTCTACAAGCGTTTTCAGGCAAATTGCTTGCGAAGAAAACTGACTGATAAATTTCCATCACACTTTAGGATAATACCTAACCTTATTCAAAATAAATATTTTTCTTGGATCTTGCGCCTAATTCTTTATAACCAGCTGGGTCTAGCACTGACCAAATTTGGAAGATGTTTGCAATTATTTCACAATATTGATGTGCAATAAACATAACAGTAGACCCACCCGTATCACCTAATGCAAGCACAGCAGCATGGGTGGATCAGCTGTTTTGGTGAGGAAATTGTGGAAGATTTCAAAAGTTTGCATACAAGATAAAAGCCTTTTGCCTGAGTCTCCAAAACATAATTAAATATATATATCTTCTCTACATCTCTTTTTTGTTTTGTTTTGTTTTGACTGTGCCCTTTTACCCAAGGAAAAACGAAAGAGCAGGGAGAGAAAAAGGAAAAACAGACAAGATGTATTAACTTTGCTATTTGCTTTTCGCCTGCTGCTCTCCTCTCAATTGATGCTTTCTGGGTGTGTGCGTGTTTTTTTTTTTACTTTAGTCACTTTTTACTTGTATTTAATTTGTTGTTGGTGTTAAAATAAATAAATAAAAGAAAGCAAAAAAAAGATACAATAGCCAAAATAAATTACTGCTTTAAGCACGAGTAGACAAAATTATGACTTGAACGACAAAAACTGCTTTTTAAAGAAATCTGTCAGGACCTACATACAGTCAAACCGGCATAATAACAAGGATCTGCATTAAGTGGTCACCCCTCCTCTTAAGGGAGTGGTACTTTCTTAACCCTTTAAACCCCAAGATCCACATACAAATTCTCCAAACTGATCTGCATACATTTCATTAAAGAATTACTGTAGTTGAGTGAATCTGATAAGAGATAAAGGCATTTTCTCTTTGCTGATCATTTTATTAATTCTCATAACCTAATCTCTTGACAATGTATGGATATTGTTACGAGAAAATTGATCTTGGACACTATTGGGACTTAAAGGGTTAAGTCCTGAAAATCTTTTTCCTTAATTGCTGTATTAAGCAGTCACCTTTCCCATGGTTCCAATGAGTTGCCTTTTAATGTTTTCACATCTATTAAACAGTCACTTTGCAAACAAAAACACAAGTGCAGTAGAAACCCTGAGCATTGCATTCAGCGATCATTTACTCCCTTTCTTTAGGCACAAGAACAGGCAGAAACAATTTGAGGTCAACTTATTATGTTATGGATACTACGCTTACAACCATCTATTTTCTTGATCAATTCTTTGGTTAGTCAGTTGGTCATTCCCCCAGGGTGACCACCCAGTCTGCAGAGTATGGCAGGTGCACGCACGAGTGTTTTTTAAAAATATATAAGCAATAAGGGCCTAAAAACGGTCTTGCACACGCAAGATCTTGTCGAGTTCTGCTATACCCTGCAGACGGGGTGACCACTTATAAATGCAGGTTTGATTGTAATTCTTCATATCATGCCCAGCACCATCCAATAATTTTCATTACTAAAGGAACAGACTGTTAAGGTCCCTTACCTATGCTGCTTATAAGCATCTACTGCCAGAACAGGAAGATTGTTGTAAACTCTGCCCAGAGCATTATACAGTGGAGCAAGCTTTGCACAGAATGGGCAATACTCAGTATAAAACAGCACAACTGCACAAGAATCGGTTTCATTGTCCTCTGTCGTGTTAATCCACTGCATCAGCTCATCTGCCTTAACGATTACCACCCTCTGCTCAACAGAACCGTTGCCTAGTGAGTTATTCCGGCCCTTACAGAAGTATTTTGGCAATTCGGAACTCGCACTAGTTGAATTGGTGGTGTTGACAACTTCTGAGGCGTTTTCAATTTGCGAAGAGTTTTCTTCGGAAATGGTTCCATTATTCACATCTGCGATGGTCGTTTTGTTCATTGTTTGGATTGCTTCCTCTAACATTGTGTTATTAATGTCCACTGGAGCAGAGCTCTCTTCGACGTCAGCTGTAAAAGAAAGTTTAGAATGAGGGTTAGCGATTAAGAATTTGCGATTATCTTAATTACCTCTGCAGTAGCTAAAACATGCCACGGAATTATCTCGCCCCCTGTGAAATCCATTCTTATTAAAACTACCTTTTATAACGTCACTTTCAGGTAAAATTCCACTATCTTCGGCAGGATAGCACACAGGGATGACAAAAAGAATACAATATAGCCACAGTACACTCGAGAATTTGCCCGCCATGTTTATTATCGTTTTGGTGCGTACAGCGCATGCTTCCAGTTATATTTGCTGACCAAAGACCAAACAATCAGTCCATTTCATAAAATTTCGGTGAAATTTTCGCCTCACCTCGCTTCAACTTTTTTCGGAAATAAGATTTATTTTGTTTGGCTGGCTAAATAAATAATCAATCGAAAATGTCGAACGTATAAAGCCATGGGATGCCATCCGAACGAGACATTGAGCCTGCGAATGTTGTGACGTCATTCAGTATTGGAAATAAATAGGTAAACGTCCGCTTCCCTCATATCAGAGCCTCCTTAGCTCAGTGGTTAGAGCACTGGTCTTGTAAACCAGGGGTCGAGAGTTCAAATCTCTCAGGGGGCTACCGACATCCCTTTTTTTCTCCTTCTCCTTACGATAATGAGCTCTTTAAAAAGACTTTTGTTCTTGGGCCATCGTAGTTTAATCAGAAATAAAAACCAAAACAGCGCTGATAAATTGTGAGCTTCCGTATACTTCTACATGAGTAATTTGGGCAGTTTGATTGGCTCGGAGCCGTGGTATTTCAGCTTAATTTGAAATACCTACATTTGAAAATTACAAACCTTTTGTGGGTAGTAGTATAAACAAATAATAGAATGATTTGTACGAGATGTTTGGCATAAACACCACTCGTGATATTTCAAAATTGAAATTACGTATAACAATTCGTGGTGTTTACGCCAAATATCACTACTAATCATGCTATTACCTACACAAATTAAACGCTAGCAGGAGCCTATAACCCTTAATGAACATACATTTTCAAAGAAAAGGGTATGGAAATGACACATGTTAACGCATGGTTCAATTTGACCAGGGGCGGGAGGGGGGGCACTCCCTTACTTATTGTATCCCCACATATCACTAGGGATATGTTTACGGGGATACACATATCACGGGGATACACATATCACTGTGACACCGGTATGTGATATGGTTTTCAAGTTTTAGTTGAGTCTTAAAGGAGCCGTGTCACATGCATTGCGCATGCTCAATTCTTTGAAAAGTGTTCAGCCCAACAAGAAATCAAACTGACTCGAATCCTCACAAATCAAGTGAAAATCTGTTTCCATCGTGGCTAATCGGTGTTCGTTTTGTATTTTGTCTATATATTTAAATTATTTAGACATAAGGCTTTCGTGTTACAGTAATTTTTTGGAGAATTGTGAAAATCCTAAGCGCTATTTAGCGCTCCAAGCGAAGGATGTCGGCTCGAGGCGGTAAACGCTACGGCAGTGGCCGTAGGCTCTTGTCACCTGGAAGCTTTGTTAGGAGCATAGAGAAGAGATCTGACTCTCGGAGTTCGTGGCTCAAGTCCCATGGAAGGATTTACGTCCGCCGTGACATTCTGGACACATTTAAAACGCTGAAAGCTCAGTGTGTCTTCTCCACCGACAGTGCTTTCTTGCAGCATTTGTTGTCGTTTGAGATGCGAAGGCAACAAAGGTGAGAAAATAAGACTTCTACATTTATATTGCGTTTTAGTCTAAGCTGCAACGTCGAATCTAACTACCTATAAAATATTACTTTATTTTAACAGTTTAAAAGCCAAGCAAGCCATGAAGAAGAGTACGGAAGAGTCAAGTGCAGTACAACAACCCCAAGCAGGTAACTAGATGCACGAGATCGATCTGGAATCCCTGTTCAGTATGGGGTGCCATTACCGCCAAAATTCAGCTATCGTTACTTTCGTAAATGGTGCCTCCAATTTTGTTTATGGTGCCTTCGTTTTCATAAATGGTGCCTCTGTTTTCATAAATGGTGCCTCTGGTTTTGTAAATGGTGCCTCCAATTTTGTTTATGGTTCCTCCAATTTTGTTTATGGTGTCGTTTTCATAAATGGTGCCTTCGTTTTTGTAAATGGTGCTCCCATTTTTTTTATTATTATTTTTTTTAATGGTGCCTCCTATTGTGTTAACATGGTGCCTATATGTTATAAGTATATGGTACCTCTGTTTTTGTTTATGGTGCCTCTGTTTTTGTTAAACTGGTGCCTATATCTTAGTATATGGTACCTCTATTTTTGTTTATGGTGCCTCTGTTTTCACATATGTTGCCTCTAAACTTGTTAATGGTGCCTCTTATTTTGTTAAACTGGTGCCTTTATCTTTGTATATGGTGCCTCTGTTGTCTTAAAAAATGCTGCCGCTGTTTTCGTAAATGGTGCTTCAAATATTCAGCAGTCTGGGAACGACTCTCTGGTGACTTAACCGAGGAAAACTGGGGCTCAGTGTCAAAATGGCGGACGCCTTAGCCTCTCTTCGCGGTCTTGTTACAGGAGAAATTGCAAACATTTGCAACAGTTTATAGAACTATAGAATACCAGTCTATATAGAATGTCAAAAAAAAACACCAAGGCAAGCACCGTTTTTGCATGTTTCCTTGAGGCTGTGTCAGAGTTTGGTCTACCATCTAGGGTACGCTCTGAAAATGTTGTAGTTTCCATGTTCATGCCTCAGTGAACCACAGTGGATGCGGTTGTCCTACAGTTGTTCTACAGCAGCAAGAGGTGACACTAATAAATGACTGGTTTTACAGGGTTTCCAATTATGTTCTTTAACACTCACGAACTCGCAAAAGGTGAGTGGTTTTTGGAATTTATAAGTCACAAAATCATCTTCTAGCTCTAGGATATTTGCAAGTGAGCATAAATTTCCTCCAGGAGAAAGTTGCTGTTGAAGAATTTTTTGGCAAAAAATGCATGCATAGATTTATTCTTTCAAGAAAGAAAGTGGCTGTGCGTAGAACCTAATAAGTGCATTTTACGTACATGTTTACACTGTACTTGGTGAAGAAGGGGGGGGGGGGGTCGGATCAGTGACGTCACACTTATTAACCTCCTATATTATATGAAAAAAAATACCACCAAAACCCATCCATGTTCCTACTATGTGGGTACTGTTACTTTCTAATATTGTTGTAAAGAAACAGAAAATAAAATCAGTGAACTGTAACAGCAGGATTCATCACAATTTAATCAACAGTTTGATTCCAGGTCATTAGAAACAAACTGAAACTAAATGGCAGTGCCTTTAATTGACTATAATTTTGTCATAATGTGAAAGACTATAAAGCAGTCAATATCTTCTTAAAAATGCACAAACCCGTGTTATAAAGAACTTTTCTTCGTTTAAACATCATAAATAATCTGGAACAGTTTACCTTCTAGTAACATAAACAAAACTGTATGTTTTTTAATCACTTACACAAAACTGTAATAATTTTCAGGTTGTACCATTCCCTGCAACATGAAACTTAAACACCTTCAAAGAGCCCAATCATTTGGCAATGGGGTTGCAGAATATTTTGAAGAGGAAGCCATGCCAGCACTTATTGCATCCTTTAATTACCAGAATTCTATTTCCAAGGGCTTTTGTTCTGGAAGGACACGTAACAGTGAAAATGAGAGTAGCAAAAACAGTGTTTTGTTCGAATAAATCCATCGTTGATTTTTTTCGTTTTTTTTTGTGTGTGCTACTAGAAGTTTTGCCTATAAAGACTATGAGTGTGCAACAATTTTTTGTTGCATGCTTTTAGGAAATTCTTCACCACAGGAATACCACATCCAGCATGAAAGCAGGGCACCTTTTTTCTCTCTTTTCCACAGTACAGTTGAAGGAAGAAACTGCAAGCAATAATTTTTTTTTTCTGTTTTTCGTACCGCATCAGGATAGGTGGAAGTTGAAGTTATCTTTCACATTCTCAAGATTGTTATGTAATAATGGAACAACCAGCTGCCCATGTACCTCTCCCCTTTTTTCCCATAAGTCAAATGTTTGGACCCCTGTTGGGACTTAATACATCATATTCCTCTCAGTGTGTATTAAAACATGCAAACATTAAATTTAAACTAATGATCCAATGTAAATGGATGTTAAATACTAGTGAATGCCTTCCCACTATTATCACAAACTGCTTGAAGTGCAGCCAGGAAGGTGTCCTTGTCAGGGAAACTTCTTGGCAAGGTTACATTCTTTGTGCAAGTAGAGGAAAAAATGGAACCAGCATCCTCAAATTCGATCCTGATCCTTCCTAAACCAAACTCTGGTAAGCAGGGTGCCCCAGTAGCAAAGGTGAGGAATGCCTTTAGAATATCTGGTGTTGCACCAACTATGAACTCAGTCATGTGCTCCATGATGGTTTTTTCAGCATCACTCATCTCTGATGGAAACATCAATATTTCCTTGACGTCAGAACCCTTCATTTCCTTTTCTCCTGCCACAAATAGCTCTTTGAAAAGCTCAGGATATACTTGCATTCTGGACCCGAATCCCAGAGTCTGAAGCCCTTCCCTTAGTTGATCTAAAAGTATTTTGGGCTTTCCAATGGCATCATGTACAATAAGGCTTTGGATGACTCGCATTTTGTTATCATTCTGAAAGACATTCACAGAACAACAATAATACAGTAAGAAACTGGTCAATGACCTGTTAGTTGTAGTTGTAGGTAACAATATCCTTGAGAAGGAGATTGCAACATTTGCATGTACATGCAGGTAAATCCGTTCTCTTCGTGAAAACATATGCACCTGTCACAAGCTGGTCAAATGATGGTCCACAATTAAAGGTGTCATAAGGGGCATCAATTTCAAAAAAGACTGCTCTTTTATTTATAACAATGATTCAGAGTTTAGGTATTAGTTGTCGTTTTATCCAATTTATGTAATTTGTAAGAATCTGGCCCCAGTTGTTCAAACGTTGGATAGTGGTATCCACCGGATAAATCGCTATCCAGCGGATAAGTGTTACGGAAATCAATTACGCTATCCGCTGGATAGTGATTTATCTGGTGGATAGCACTATCTGACGTTTGAACAACCGGGGCCTGTATTTTAGATATTTTAAAATTTATTTTGTTGTATAGAATACTTATTTTTAATCTGTTTCTCACTGTTTATTTCTTCACTGGATGGTGATTTAACCAGTGGATAGGATTAATCACCTTTTGAGCAACTGGGGCCTGATCTAAAAAAAATATTTATTTTGCTTCTCTTCTTTTAAACTGTTTGGTGGTTTTTTTTATTATTTGTGAATTTCACTTCACTGTTGAGCAAGCTTGAAAGTGCTTTTGAATGGCTTCTCTCCTGATCCGACATTGAGTGTGTAAGTTTTAAAATACTTTTCTATCAATATCGAGTTTTCACTATTGTTAATAATATGCTGTTAAAAATAATGCGGATCAGTTAAGGTTTCTGGGAAACTGCCCACCTACCCCTCCCCTAACCCAACATTAACACTAACTTCTCACTTTAGGCAAAATGTTAGGTTAGGGGAGGGGAAGGTGGCCAGAATCCCAGAAACCTTGACTGACCCAATAATGCCATCACAACATTTACAAACTTACAGTTAATGTCATGGAAAGTCCACTCTCTGAAAGAACACTGGTCGTCTCCTCTTTGTCAAGTTCAGATACATCAGCAACTTCTGCAACCTTAAAAAAAAAACAGAAACAAAAAATTAACAAAAAAAAATGTATGTTTTTGCCAAAAAGTTTCGCATATCCTTGTGATACTACCTTTATTCAGTATTAGTTTAAGGGAACATATAAAATGTGAGGGCCCTAGACTGAACAGCTTTCAGACGTTTTGTCACATCTTGTAAAACTGGAAGAAAATAAATGCAGGTGCATATCTTCTTAACATTACTCAACTAGCCTAACTATGCACCTGACAGGGGAGGGCAGAAACAGAACTCCATAGTTCCTATTTTGATAAGCAAAATATTTTTCCCTTCCATGTCATTATTATATAACTGCACTAGAATAGGGCACTTTCCCACACAATGAAAAACTCTTCCCATATACTTAACAGCTTGCCAGGCCAACTCAAGCACTGTCTCCTGCTTAGCATTAGAGGTGTTTGCTCAGAGTAAGAGTTCATTAGCATAGTCTCCACATACTTTGTTCAAATATTTTAACAAAGTTAAATGTAGGTTTTGTTTTCCATTACCTTGGTTATGAAATGTTCCATGTGAGATGAGCAGTCTTTTATGGTGATTGCTTCCATGACTTCATTTAATTTACCTTTGGCCAGGTAATTGTAGACTCCCAGGCTGAATATGGGAAACCCGGGTCCTCCCTGTAGCACACTGTGTACGATGATGGTTCCCACCAGCTTCATTACGCCTGATGCAACCATATCACAGTTATAAACTGGACTTCGGTATGTATCACCCTGAAAAAAGGTGTCTGCAATCACCTTCAGTAGTTGTGTGTAAAATTGACGGATGACCCCCCCTGTGTCTGCCGCTGGCTGTCCACTATACACTATTCGTAGCTTCTTTCTTGGGTCAAAATCTTGATCTTTATAGTACGCCATCGCGTCATTTAGAAGATCTTCTTCGTCTATCTTCAACTTTTCTCTTTGATCTGAAGAAAAATTTTTCTGTAGGTCTCTCAATTCAGCATTCAGATCCTGAGTGTCACAACAGGTTCCTAGTGGTTCAAACGGTGAATTCATCAAGTCATTCGCATCATCATCATCAGTTACTGTGTTGTCAGTTGTAGGTAAGAGTGACATAACAGCCTGATCAAATGATCCCTCCACTTGAAGGCAGGCTTTCAGAAAATCTCGACTCTTATCAGGAAACATTTCTGAGAGGTGGTTGATTTCTGTCGGATCAGGTGAGGCATCACCAACACTGCTAAGAATTCCAAATGCCTGAAGTGAGTACATTAATACTAATTACTGGAATTACAGAATGATTACAAGGTCACTGAGGTATTAAAAACTAAAGAAGACTGCTGCCTTACTGGCCATAGTTACTGCACACAAAAAAATGTCATTTCTTTGGGTTAACGTAAAGGTACAAGGTGATCTGCTCTTCAACCAGGTTAAATGGTATCTTGTTTATTTACTGTTCTATCATGAATCAGTTGTCATTTAAGGATATTCATAATTTTACACACAATACTTATAACGTAGCACATTTCTAAATATAAGTAACTAGGAAAGGCAATGACAGGCATAAATAATTATTGAGAATCAGTGGCAACAACAGTTACCAGCCCATTGGCCATGCATACATGACTGACCTGAAATATTCCTTAAAACAACAACAGCAATTCAATATGGAGAAGAAATGAGAAAAATTTAATATTACCAGCCACTGGAACTGCCTCCCCCACCGCATGACTCATGATGTTTTCTCATTAAATCCATTGGGACTTGCAGGTGACAATTAACACAAGAAACCTTTGGGCTTACAGAAATCTGTAGAAGAACTGCAATTAATATTATTATTTCTATTTTTATTACATACCGTAAATGCTCAAATTAGCGCCCCCCTTCGAATTAGCGTCCCCTTTTTGGATAGAATTATTAAATAAGGCCCCCCCTTCAAATAAGCACCCCCCCTAACACACCTCCTTGTCCTCCTTACCAAATATATGGTATACAGTATAATGACATGTACAGTCACTAGAGAATGACCCATCTGAGGACATCACACGGTCAGATGTTAAAGACAAGGCTCCTCTGACAATAGTTCTTGAGAATAGTGACAGAACTAGGTACAACTGAACGTTCAAAGCCAAGAATACATGTATGCACCACACGCTCACAAATCGGGTATATGCTGAAAGATACACTCTAGTTTTCGTGATTGATGGCTGCAGTTTTGTTGATTTCAAACAAAGAAAAATGTGATCTTGAGGCCTAGACTCTGAAGAATTTAATAAGCCCCCCTCTTGAGTCCAAAAATTAAATAAGTGCCCCGAGTGCTAATTCAAGCTTTTACGGTATTTTCAATGGAGTGGGCAGGAATATTTCCTGGAACCACACATTTTAAGTCACAATAATGCTAAGCCTAAGACCCACTCTTGGAAATTATTTGACGACAGTGATTATTATTATCTATTGATAAAGCTTATTAATTTTGACTCTTGCAATAATATTAGAATGTGGCCTTACCACATTTTTATAATAATATATTAGTTATTAACTGTAAAATAAATATATCCTAGGCCCACCTGGGTTTGACATTCTTCACTTGTCCCATCAAACTAGAGAACTAAGTCCTTTTGTAAAGGTCTTAAATAGCCTTTGGCTGAACCAAAAGTTAATTTTAGATATCACACTGTGTACCCACCAGGTGGAATTGATAAAACAACAGGCTGTCCGCGGTTACCTAAGACTATCTCCTGTCCTCATAATTTCATATCCTCCTGCATCTTGTACTTGAGGAAAGGATGCTACACTGTACCCTTGCCATGGCGGGGATATTATACTAATTTATTATTCTGCAAATTCCTAACATTTACCACATTAGCCAGGGTTTAATAAATTCACCGAATCAGATATGCTTGAATGTGATCATGAAGTCCCTGCTGCTCCCGTAAGGAAGAAGATTGCTACAATGGCATCACATTCAAAGCACAAAATTGTCAAGTTGGCAAATGTGGTTGATTATTTGCTTTGAAAGCATACTTAGATGCTGATCAAATGCCATGACTGTGTATGTTTTCAATATTACGGCTATTCCATTTTAAATCCCCCACCCCTTGATACAGACAAGATTTTCTGAAGGGGGTTGTTTTCCCAAAAAAATACCAAGAATAAATTTCTGAAGGGATAAAGGCGAAGTTATAGCATCATCAATGTAGGGATGGTGGATATATTTTGCTGCTGATGAAGAGTGTTGTAAAGAACTAAATTTCTGAAGACCTAGAATCCAAAAGTCTCTTTTCTGAAAGGAGGTTGTAAATAACAACACCACATTTTCTGAGGAGTACAGAACGAAAAAAAAAAATTTTATGTGAGGGCTTGTAAGAAAAAATGGTGATTTGTGATGTGGGTAGCCCTAGGAATAATTTTCTAGAGAATTCAGGGACAAAACACCTCATAAATATATAATTTGGGAGGTGGATATTAAATGCAATGGGCTTTACTTAAAGTAATTTTTTTTATAGTTTGGTAAATTATTGCTGGCAAGAAACATAATTTGATATTTGGCGACCTGTTATACCACATGGTTGCAAAATAAGGATTTGGAGTACTGAAAGATATTGTCATGACAAATGGAAAGAATTTTCATTATGGTGGCACATTCATTTATTCTTTTATATTTATGATATTATTAATAATTATTAGCCTTTTTGACCGCGATAGCATGAGCAAAATTTAAAAGAGCTTTACGTTGAAAAGAAAGGACAATTATCATAAATAAAAAAAAATAAATAAATGTGCCGCCATTATGAAAAAGGTGTACAGGCTTACCTGCGCGCTGTTGACTTGTCCGGAGCAAGTGGCGTAATGCTCTCTAAGAGCGTAAACATCCAGGATCGCCTCGCACCGCTTACACTTTTCCTTCTGGATTTCCATGTTTTTCTTGGGAGTGTCGCTTTCCATGGCTAAATCTACTTGGATGGGCCTCACAAAAATTTTCCCTTGCCCTATAAATGTCGCAAGGTACTTCATTGTGACACCGTTAGGTCCTGGCGGGATGACATGCAACTCTCTTTTTCGCGGCTCCGCGTACATGAGATCAAAGCCTCCAGCTGCTTGTAGCTGTGGGAAATTTTCCAATACCCGATCTCGTATTTCCAATTCACTGGCTTCTTCGGCAATAGAGATTTTTGTTTCCCCAAGGCCTACCATCAGCAGTTCTCGTTGCTCTTCTGCATCAGGGGTCTCCAACTGCTCTTTGTCCGAGAGACAAACAAATTTACGGATAATTTCTTTTCTCTTAGTCTTAGTGGTCGTCTCCGATGCCTTGCGTTTCACGGATCTTCGAGGTTTGTTGAAGCTCGCACTACGACTGCCGGTCGGCTGGAAATGGTGAGGAAATAAAGTGCTCAACTCTCTTTGAAATCTACCAGGACCATTATCGGTCGCGGCTGTAGCGACTGCAGGCTGTGATGTGCTTGGCGAGCTCTCAATATTGGTTGTTAACCTTTCTGCCGCTCGAGAGAGCATCCTTGCCGCCTGAGCAAGATCCTCCGCCATCTTCATACAGTAGAGCACGTGGTGGATCAGACGTTGTGCGAAAAAGTTTCAGGTGATTTCCCGCGCAAAAGTGTTCAAGTTATTTTTAGCCCACCAAAAAATTGGAATCAGAGAATCGGATCATTGGGAATGTCTAAAAAAGGGAATCCATAGTAGAGAGACTCTAGTACTGTTTCACGCAACTTTATAGAGCTTTTTATGGAGACTCGATGCTTTGTTGTACCTCTGACACAAATATAGCAGCTGAAAATCCTCGCGATGAGAATTTTTCGAATAATGACCAAATGTGAAATAGCCAACTTCCGACAATCGTAGAGAAGCCTAGAAAAACTTCGAAAATATGAGGTGAATGGGATAGCCATCTACAAATTTTTAGCCTTTCTCGAGCAATAGAAATTTCTAGGCAATACGCGCTTCTTCGCCCCTGTTGGGAAAAAAACAACAGCGGAACTTATATTTTTCATCATCGTTGACAATGACAGCTTGTTTACTACTTGCAGCGGCCAATTTTCATGGCAAACCTTAATATATGCTTCAACAGTCAAAACTTCAAAAGATGCGAAAATTGAACTTTTTCTTGGAATGTACAGCAAAGTTTTTAGTAAAATATTCTGTTGCTGAGATCTTTTACTAGTACATAAATTGTTGACATGAACTGCAATTAGAGTCATTGCTAACATCAGGGAAGATCGACGAGACAAGTGCCTCATCTAAACCAAAAAATGTAGTTGGCCATTGTGATGAAAACATTACATTTTTGTTTGTGATGACTCTGACTCTATGAGCTTAACATTAGAAAACCAGCACTTCAGAAGTATATCTGAATGGACCATTGACATTAGGTTATTACCGTAAATTCTCAAATTACCGCCCCCCTTCAAATTAGCGACCTCCTTTTGGCTAGAAATATTAAATAAGTGGCCCCAACGAATAAGCGCCCCCCTCCCCCTTCCCAACACACCTCACTGAGAATGACCCATTTGAGGACATCACACAGTCAGATGTTAAAGATGACAAGTGGTTCCTCTGACAATAGACCTTTCTCATGCAGCAGCCATGTTGAGTCCCCGAAGAATAAAAAGCTTTATTTTGCCCGTCTAAACTTGCTCTCAAGTTTTTCAATGCGAGGCTGGACAGGCAGAATGTTTTTTTTTTTTTTATGCAAAATGGTCGCTACATGTTAAAGGTCTCTAGGATAGCGACAGAACTTAGTTATAACAGAATGGTTATTAAAAGCCAAGAATATGCACCACACACTCACCAATTTTGGTACATGCTTAAAGATACGTTCTATTTTTCCTGTTTAATGTTGCAGTTTTCGTTCATTTGAAACAAAGGAAAATGTCATCTTGAGGCTTAAATTCTGAAAAAAGGAAATAAGCACCCCCCTTCAAACAAGCGCCCCCCTCTGAATTAGCACGTCCCTCTTGACTCAAAAAAATGAAATAAACACCCTGGGCGCTAATTCAAGCATTCACGGTAATTGTAAACAAAAGGTCAGTTCTACTTCAATAACTCACTTTGGAAAAGAGTGCTGGAATCTAGAAAAGGTACATGAGCAGTTATGGGATTGTTTGGAGTCGCTTGTCCTGACAAAAAGGCATTTTGTTTTTAAAGAAATGTGGTATTGATTGGGGTTAGGATATTTATGTGTGATATATTTGTATTTCTGATCCACGAAAAATTGTGAGTTCCCTGATCTTGGCTCTCATGTCCCCCAAACAATCCCCTAAGTGCTTCAGGGGGCACTTTCGACCCAGGTCAACACTGTACTCCAAAGTGTGCTATTTAGCTTAGAATTTATATAGTTTTGTCTTTTCTTCTTCTGAGGAAAAATAATGAAAAACATACAACATTAGTGAATATTGAGTCATCTCTCCTGCCAGTCTAGTTAAGGTGCTGGATACAATCAGCAACAAAGTTCTTCACCAGAAGGTAGCACCTGACACTTTCCCATGGGGTAGCTGATGCTACATTAAAACGACTATCCTCTACCACTCGAACTAGTTCATTCAACTGAGTTTGATCCAGAGGGCGGTCTGTGGTATCCACTTGGACGTCAGTGTCACACTCACTGCCAATACTGACTGGACCCTCCCAATCAATGCCATAATCATCAGCAACTATGGGCTCAAAGATGGAATTTTCAAATTGACCTTGCACCCACAACTGCAGGGGGGTCAGGTTGTGTTCTGTGCTCAGAGGGTGTCTTATCCAGGCAGCAACCCATTCCTGCAGCTTGTGATTGATAAGATCAACAAAACAAAACTGCAGGCACCATAAATCAACTTCAGATATGGGGTCAAGAATTCCCATGTGTTCCATTGACATAAAGAGCCTATGGAAGAGTTCAAGAACATCGGTGAAAACATCTCTCCATAAGCGCTCTATTCGCTGGTTATGGACGCTTCTTCCAACGAAAGTGCTGAACCTCTACCAGTTCCTCTTCTTTCAAGCATGTATTGCACCACATCAACATTCTCACCTCCTCTATCGCAACGAACACGGGAAGGCAGTCCCCACTGACCTACAGCATCCATAAAGCAAGCCAAAACAGTCGAGGCTTTGTTATTTGTACTACACGATAGAAACACAGGGATTCTGGTGAAACCATCAACACACCCATGCACCGCAAAAACGCCACCTGATCAGCTTATGGTTGCCGTCGAAATGCCAAAGAGCAAGAGGACGAGACACAGAATAAAACACGTCGATGAACAGCTCTGCATCTGCGAACAGATACTCCTATGGGGTCAACTCTTTGCAGGGACTGCCTCAGTCTTTCTCTGGGTACTGTAATGTTACGAGAAGCGAGGAAACCAAGCAGATTCTTGGACCCACAGTTAGGATGAAAAACCTTGATGTCTCTAACCTGGCCATCCAACTCCTCATCCGTGATAGTCGAAAATGACCTTGATGAGATGCCGTATTCAGCAAGACGCCGCTCAATGGTTCTCGTGGATACCTTAAGTAGCCTGGCAATCTGTGGAACTGTAAATCGCAGGTCGATGAGTGACTGTAGCTGATCCGCGCTTATTTCATAAGAAGGACGTCCTGGCCTGCTGCTATTGATTTGGCGAGTACGCACTGAGGCGGGGCTCAAGTTTTCTATTATACGTCTTGCAACTGATATGTCAAGGTACACTTCCTCGGGCAAACGTACAACCGAATCCAAGAAGTTGATGGCAACAACCACCTGATCAATTTTCTCTAATGTACCTAGGGGATCGAAATCCTCCGAGGGCTCAAGGGATAAACTGTTGCAAATGTTTGCAATTTCTCCTGTAACAAGACCGCGAAGAGAGGCTAAGGCGTCCGCCATTTTGACACTGAGCCCCAGTTTTCCTCGGTTAAGTCACCAGAGAGTCGTTCCCAGACTGCTGAATATTTGAAGCACCATTTACGAAAACAGCGGCAGCATTTTTTAAGACAACAGAGGCACCATATACAAAGATAAAGGCACCAGTTTAACAAAATAAGAGGCACCATTAACAAGTTTAGAGGCAACATATGTGAAAACAGAGGCACCATAAACAAAAATAGAGGTACCATATACTAAGATATAGGCACCAGTTTAACAAAAACAGAGGCACCATAAACAAAAACAGAGGTACCATATACTTATAACATATAGGCACCATGTTAACACAATAGGAGGCACCATTAAAAAAATAATAATAATAAAAATTGTAAGCACCATTTACAAAAACGAAGGCACCATTTACAAAAAACGAAGGCACCATTTACAAAAACGAAGGCACCGTTTATGAAAACGAAGGTACCATAAACAAAATTGGAGGCACCATTTACAAAACCAGAGGCACCATTTATGAAAACAGAGGCACCATTTATGAAAACGAAGGCACCATAAACAAAATTGGAGGCACCATTTACGAAAGTAACGATAGCTGAATTTTGGCAGTAATGGCACCCCATAGTTCAGGGACTTCTTTTTTATGTGAGCAGTGCATTTGGCCGGAACATTTATGGACTCAATCCATCGGGATTAATTCTGTCTTCATTGAAATAAAAGTTGTAATATGTTGCATATTGTTTTGCAGATGATTCTAATTTGCACACCTCGACCCCTGTGAAAAGAAGCAAGTATGACGGTTCTGTCATTGCTCCACCGGTGGAAAGTCCAGTTGCTGGAATGGCTGGTGACAATAGGTAGGTGGTCATTTCGGTATTGATTTTCTGTTTCCATATTATTTCACATACCGTATTTATTCGAATAAGCGCTCAACCTCGAATTAGTGCCCACCTCGAATAAGCGCCCATCCTAAAGGCAGAGAAAGTTAATAAGCGCCCAGCCTCGAATAAGCGCCCACCCCCTCCTCCTCCCAATCAAACTCAAATAAGCGCTCACCCCCACCCCACCCACTTGAGTGAATAAATTCTAATAAGAGACTTCCCCGAAGACGGAGTTTTCTTCAGAGTATTTTACAGAAACCTTGCTTTGTTATTAGCATTTATTGTTTTGTTGCATTTATTGTTTTGTTGCAAAATACACATTCTTCACTTGCTGAAAATGGTGAAAATTTAATAAGCGCCCAGCCTCGAATAAGCGCCCACTCTCAAGGTCCAAAAATTTAATAAGCGCCCAGGGCGGTTAATCGAATAAATACGGTATCTGTCTCGGACATAACGGTGAAGGAGCAATTGGAAGTTCTTCCTGTGATAAAAATTTTAGATGCATCAGGTTTTCATTGAGTGAATGTCTGAACATTTAATAAATCATGATGGATGAGGAAGAAAGTCTTAGTAACTATTCTTTCAAGTAGTTCAGTTTGGTATTTCCCCCGGGGGGGGGGGGGGTACTCCCTAATATGGGCTATATAGGTATGTGCGGCCCCAAAGGGTAGGGTTTTTCAGCCGTTTTGGTCATAAATTGGGTAACGATTTTTGCACTGTAGTCTTGAATGCACTTTTTTAGAAGAAGCTATTTCCTTATCATGTCCCCCTAACCTAATAAAAGCAGATAAACATTGCCTTTAACATTGGTCTGAACTAGGGAAATAATTATAAGGCAGGTCTGAAACAGGGTATTGATTTAAGGGTCAGGTCATAAATAGGGTATCAAATTTTTGGTTAGGTCATAAATAGGGTAGGGAAAATCGCAGATTTTGGTCATAAATAGGGTAAGGATTTTGGGAAGCGGTTCGCACACCCCTACCCATTGTTCTGCGAGTACCCCCCCCCCGGGGTATTTCCTTTTGCTTTCTTTCTTTCTTCTGTTAGCAAGGTATAACAGTACTTTTAGAGAGATGTTAATTGCAAATGTGCTGCACCTTTTCCACAGTGACATTGACATCACAGGCACCGACCACTCTGAGGTGACCTCAAATAGTGACAGTAGCAGCAACTCTTCTGCGACAGAGTCGTCTGCAGAAAGTGAAGATGACAACTGCTTCTTGTAAACAAAAGATTGTGACAGGCCTACACGGACTCCCCTAGTGAGTTGTGATAGCGATGCATTCAAGCCTTAACTTAAGCGACTTGAGCAGGGTGTCTTTCTAGACTGAAAGCCTTTACAAAGATTGTGAAGACTTGCGATAACCCGTACGAAATCTTATGGCCTGACTGAGCCACAATAGGGCCTTAATAAGGCCTTAAATGGAAACAGAGAGCAAAAGATCAACCAAAGCTGAACCTAACAGCCTGAGCCAAAAAAAATTTGTTTCCTTTTTTGTTTCTAATTCCAACACCATGAACAAAAAGCGACCAAATTCAGGCAAAATATTTTAGGTTGTAAATTTGGTCGACAGTTAAACCCCAAATGTGAACCAAAATCGCTTTGGGCTGTTATTTAGGCTCTCATTTTGAACGCTCTACGACCTTAAAGCAGGCAAAATTTTTTTAGTCGTAGATTAGGTCGCTCATGTTGGAAGCCGACTGAGGCTGTAATTTTGGTGTTGATCAGTTCGGTCGAACCAGCGAATTACAGTGAAGTCGATGTGGAGCCACCAGAAAAAGGTGTAAGGGAGACATTAAATATTAGCAAAACTTTAATTAAATAGACCTAACGCAAGAGATTTTTGCAAACAAAAACGAGAAATATCAGATTAGTTTTTTAACTCAACTGAACTAAACATTTACAGATACAATACGTACCTACAAAGTTGATTCCCTCACCTTGCAAGTAAGACTAATCTCTTTCTATTTTATTTGCAATTAAATTTGCAAACATAATTGACGCACCTGACGATAGACAAATCCACGCCGTGCATGCACGAAACCAAATACAATAAATGAATGTTTTGTCCCTGAAGACTTCCGACCAGTTAAAGCTGGATTTAAATAGCTATATATGATGTATTTGAATCGTGGTGGTACCATATTAAAAAGCTTCTACAATTACTACAGTAAAAAGGGTTTTACTATGGAAAAATTTTCGTGACATTGTCTTTACGTTACCGTAGTAAACCTGACAGGTCCACTTGAAACTTTCCATGCGTTGTTTTTGCGTGATCGCGTTTCTTGATTTCTCAAAAACCCTGTCTCGATATGTTCACGTGGCCTTAGAGACACATGATGATTGGTTAGTTTATTTTGGCGGGCATTTGGGGTTCATCGTAAGAGAAAAACGTTTGTGTCTTCTCCTGTAAACGTTTTCCCGATCTAAGTTACATTGAAACTTAACATTTGTAAGTTTGAAAATTAGTTTTCATTACTGCATCTATTTTGGTTCGGACAAAAGTCTCGGCATTGTGCCCAAAAAGTCCCAAAAGTCGCTGTGCCTTGCAACTAGGACCGTTTGAAGCGAGGCAAGAAGCTGAAGTGAAAATGTGCAGGACAAAGGTTTGTCAGTATAATTTTTAAAACTGCCGATAAAGATAAGCTTGTGTGTTTTAAGTTGTATTTAAGGTTAGTGTTTTTTCTTCATAGATCGTGCATCATGTTAAACGTTCGTAGCCCTTTCTTTTGGCGGCCAGTAAACAGGTCATGACTGTTTGAAAACGCAGAAGTCTTCTTGGAAACATGTTTATCTCTATGATATAGGGCTTAAAACCTGCCTAACAAACCAGTTAAATATTGTTCTGGAACAATTTCCTAAAGCACACGGCTGTATTTGCTGGTTGTGGGCAACACAGGAAGAACTAAATAACAGAAATCCTGAGAGGAAATAGCTCCGTATAAAATAGTATCACTTTGTTTTTGGTATTAGTACGGGTCGCGTGTCAAAGACGTTATCGAGCTTGTGAGAGTAAAAGGTATAATGCGTGGAATTTGTGATCGTCGCAGTGCTGGTGCTCATCTATGTGAAGGAATAATATTCAGAAAATCTCTTTGTAATTTTTGAAGAAATGCACGAACAGTCTGTAGCAAGTGCACTTTGTACGTGATGTGAATTCGTGATTTATACATTCAAAACGACGCGTGACCCGGTTTCGTTCTTTGATGTAATATTTTTTGTAGAAAAATTCTGGTAGCAATGTATTTAAATTTGCTATACTGCATTAAAAATCCAGTTGATGTTTCATTTGTAGCGATTTTCATACAAACGTTTGTCAATTATTTAATACTAACTTTAGCTTGCTTATCTATTTATCTACCTTGAAAATGTACATTTGGCACGCAATCTCGAGTTTGCCGGTGTCGAGTTACTGTTGAGTGAAATCTTGACCAAAAAATGGTTGGATCTCAGCCTCAATTACAGCGTAATTTTGGCCCAAATGTGGCCTAATTTAGCTCGAACCGGATTACAGAAATATGCAGCGTGGAGACAGCGGTCATTATCGTGTTACCGTTCAGCCAAAATGACAGCATAATTTGGGCCCAATTTTGGCCCAGTTTTTGCATCACTGTAGTGTAGTTAGGATTTGGGTTCTATTTTGGTTTATTTTGTGGCCCAAATATTTATGTTTCAGTGAGGCTCGTTTTGGTTCATCTTTGGTTGAACTTTTTAAGGCCCTATTTTGGTTTATTTCCGTCCGGGTTTGGCTGAAAATTATGGCCTAATTTACCTTCTGGCTAGAGCGTTAATTTTGGTACGGGAAGCGTTCTTCATTTGCAATACCAATATATTTTTTTCCTATATATCTATTTCCACGATTTTAGCGTGAAAAATTACTTAATTCTGTCTGCAAAGCAAAGCAAATTAGGGGTGTTACGAAAACTCAGACCTCGAAAACACAGATCTCAGACCCCGAAAAACTCAGACCCCTGGGCGCACTGAAAACACAGACCCCCCGAAAAACTCAGACCCCCTGGGTGTATCGAAAACACAGACCCCCCAAAAATCTCTGACCCCCTGGGTGTATCGAAAACACAGACCCCCCCAAAATCTCAGACCCCCTGAGTGTATCGAAAACACAGACCCCCTGAGTATATCGAAAACACAGACCCCCTGGGTGTATCAAAAACTCAGACTCCCCGGGTGTATCGAAAACACCGACCCCCGAAAAATTCGGAGCACTGGATGTCTCGAAAACTCAGACCCCCTGGTTTTCTCGAAAACGCAGACCCCCGAAAAACTCAGACCCCCCGAGAAAGTCAGACCCCTGGATGTCTTAAAAAATTCAGACTCTAAATTCAATATTTTTCAAATATTATGACTAACTCAGACCGCGAGCAGTCTCTCTCTTTTTCGCATCCATTCGTTATAGCCTGTGTACAGCCCCACCCTCTCCCCCAAGGGAGGAGGCCCCTGTACACAGCCGAGTTCATTAAAGAAAAAAATTAGTGAATAAGAACTGCATAATGATTTTTCTTATTTGCTCATTTCCCTAAGTTGGTTCATAAATTAACCAGGTTCATATATTTTCTAAAAAAAGAAAGAAAGACTGCTTTCTGACCAGGGCAAAGACTTAGTAAAAAATTGAGTGGAAGGCGATTTGGGGCCACAAAATAGGTTTCGCTCATATTTTTTCCATGGACTGTTTTCATAGATTGGAGAAATTTTATTCTGTAAAGATTTTTTGGGGGCAATTTCTTTTGCACCGCATGCGGATTGGAAGAGGCAACATAGCGAATTTTGTCAAGAGTTTAACTGTTTTCTCCGGACGGAAGAGTTTATCTCAAGGCTTGCAATACCCTAGTAATATATAATGATCCTTTATCTTTAAAATTATATGGGTTTGAATCATCAACACTCTTTAGAATAATAACAATGAGGAAACAAACTTGACCCCTTTGATCCATTTGATGAAATACACGATTTTAGGCAAATTC